CTTTTTCTTTTTTTTTTTCTTTTTCTTTTTTTTTTCCGTCCCCTTCCTCTGTTTCCTCCTCGTCACCCGAGCATGATGATGTGGCAGGCTCTGTCTGGACCTGGGCCGGCCCTGAACAGACCGGGAACCTTGGCCTCGAAGGGGAGGGATCCGAGAGGCGAGGCTGGCTGGCTGGATGGCGTGGCGTGTTTCCCAGTGCCTTTCCCTCTTCTGGCTGCTGTCTGGCAGTGTCTGGGTTCGGGATTGATGGCGTCGATATTGATGTGGAGAGCAATCCGATCCGGGTCATCCAACGCCAATGGCCCCCAGCCACCGGTCCAGCCCAGCAGTTGTCGTTCTCGCAGCCGTCATAATCCTCGCTCGAGGCTGGCTGGCTGGCTAGTGGTGGTTGTATCATGCCGTGCCTATCTCGCATGCCTGCCCAACCAGCCCTCAATGCCTTGCCACTTCCTTCTTCCCTGTCCCGTCCTCGGCCCTGCAAATATTGCCTTGCCCTGTCTGCCCTGTCTCGTCTGCCGTCCTCCCGTCTCGGCAGGCGCTCGCCGCGATCGGATCTGTTGAGAGGAAATGAACGAGAGAAAGCCTGGACGAAACGCACCGCCGCCATTTTTTTTCTTTCCTTCCTTTTCTTTAATATCGGGTTCGAGGCACCAACCCTACGCCCTCTCACCGCTCGCCCCCCCTCCAGACAGATGGACATTGGACGCGTTGGCACCCGACACACGGCAAACGGTGGGAACGGCAGTGCATGCGAATCCCAGCCGGGCAAGCCGCCCTCGGACTCTCGCAGCCGGCCGTCCCAACTGCCCTGCCTGACCTTAGCTACCCTAGGCCTGTCTCCCATCAGAGGGGAGTCCGCCCGCTCCGCCACCAAACCCCCCGAGTTGGCGCCGAACGGGGGGCCCCGTCCTCCCTCTTCCAAGAGTCCGTTGTCCCATCAAAAGCCTTCGCCCGTCCCCGTCCCATCATCTCCGGCCGACCGCTCCCTCCTGTGCGCAGGTGGGGTTTGCCTATGTAGGTATGCGCATCCAGATCCCCCGGCCGTGCGAGCGCGCCACGCATTCAAAGGCATGCGGCGAATCTGTTTCGATGGATGGACCCCGGAATCGGGAAATCGGCCTTTCCTTTTCTCCCCTCCCCTCCTTCCAGAGAGGTGATGAGTTGGAACAATGCGGTCAATAGAAGGGCCGGCCTATATACCAAATATAGCATCTAGACGTGCATGCTGTGTGTATGTACGTATCCCCGTGCGTACATACGGCACCACATGTACTGTGTACGAGCTTCCGCTGCTGCTACTCGGTGTTGGGCTGCGAAGTTTTGGTCCAGCTCCTAGCACAGCACTCCCCAGCCTAGCACCACAGTGGATGGTGCCCACGACGTTACACCCCACACACCACCACCACCCGTTACGCGAGGCGTGCACACCCCCTCCCTTCCATTTTTCCCTCTCGCCTCCGTTCTTCTTCTCCCACCGCCTGGCCCTTGTCCTGCTGCCCGCACCGCCCGCGCCGTCGACCAGCCCGGTGGACTTGCTAGTCTGGGGTGGTGGGCGTGCTAGCCTCCCCTCCCCACCCTTTTTACGCCGTTCGTGACCGCACCATTTCCGAGCGGGTCCCGAAGGGTGGGATGTGAGATAATGCCCGATTAGGTGTGGTGTGCGTGGTGTGTAGTGTGTAGACTTGGTAGCAATTATTACTAGCAGGTACGCCATGTATAGCCCTTGTGCTTCTCCATGTGTCTTTTCGGTATGTGTGGTGAGCAAAAGCACCCCAACCCAAAGCGCGTGCCAAGCGGCTGGCCGCTTACCTAGCTGCCTCTTCGAGAAGCTCGTTCGAGCTTGATCTAGGTTCGCCTGCTGATGCAGCGGGCGCGTGGGATGTGTGTGTGTGGGTGAGCTTTGTCTTTTGGTTATTGCGACGCCCGCGACTGGGCCCCCATTTCTGGCTTGCTCTAGGCCCTTGCTACCTTTCTGTTTATTTCCCTTGACGACGACATATATTTGGGAGTACCTCGCATACTCCGATTGCGATTTCGGGCAGGTGGGCTTGTGGGTAGACAAGGGAGAGCAAAAGGAAGCCAGACCAAAAAGTCGTGATCCGTCGTCTCGTGGCCCAGGTTTCCCGCTCTGACCACTTCTGTGCCCATGCCGTGCAGTCGCAGTCGATGCCGCGTCTGATGCCATTGTTTCCACTTGTGGAAGGTTTCGATCTGCGAGTTCTTTTTTTCTTTTTAATGTCAAATTTTTTTTTTTCGAAACGACTCGGTGTGTGTTCCGCGCTCGCTGGCGTTTTGCCCACCCCCTCCTCGCATCGTCTTCTCCTGATCGCATCCATCCTGTCTTCGTTTCTTCTCCAAGTGTTTCCTACCATTGGCCCTTCCCAAACACACACCCCCTTGCCAGATCGTCTAACTGCCTCTGCCATCTCTCCTCGATCCCCCCCTCCACCCCCAAACCCGTTTCCGAAGGCCTAGCTCGAGCCCTGAGCCAAACTCTGGTTCGCCCGCTCCTGAGCCTTGTCAGGAGATGGGGGGGTGAGACGTCAAGTGACTTGGGCCGGTCATCCTCTCTCTAAAAGCAAAAGCGCGCCCAAGCCCTTTCTCTCGCTCTCGCTCTCGCAAGCTAGCGACAAAAAACCTAACCAAGTAGGTTAGACCGCATTGCTGTGCCCGATGAGAGGTCAAATCTTCATTAATTACTGCCCCCTCACCTGGACCTCGCTCCCCGGACCGCCCTATGGTTTCCCCATCCCTCGTCGTCGTCCTCCTCCTCGCCACCCTGCTCGAATCAGACCCCTCCATCCCGAGAGAGGATCTTGGCTGCACTTGATTGATTGCGTTGCCGCGTGACTCGCCTCTTCTTCGTCGCCGCCCTCGAGTCGTCTTCTCCTTTGGCCCAGTGCGCGGCGTTGGGACCTGTCCTGGGTGAATATAAGTCGACGCCTATAGCCCTGTGGCCCCCCCGCTGCAGTCGACCTTTTCTTTTATTTATCTGTGGCTGTTTTATCTCTGCCTGCCTCCCCTTTCTCTCTCGGAAGCGATTTTGTTCCGGCTCGCTAGAGGACGCTCGCTTGTCCGCCATATAAAGCCATAATCAAGCGACTTATATGCCGACGCCCCTCTTCTCGTGGTTACCTGGGAACGGGAGACCCAGCCTCTTATCACCACTTTTATAAGTACCCGCGGGGTCACCTCAACCACCCGCCCGCCTGTCTCATTTATTATTGATATTAACCCAGCTATCCCGCCACCGCCTCTCACTTCTGACCGCGGTCTTGTGCTTCTCTTCTACTGTGTCTTGTCGTCCAAGGAGAAACAAGTCGGCTCGAGTGACGTGTTTACCCTGCCACACGAGAGAGGGCTGGAAGAGGCTGGGCCGGGTATTCTGGACAAGTTCAACCTCCAGACAATACATCGACCCTGGAGGAGCAAGGTTTTTTGCGGTGGCGAGTGCAGGACGGAAGCCTGGAGCCCTCTCGGAGGCCACGATCAAGCTGGAGAGCCGGGCCCGACCAACCCGCTATATCTCTGGAGGAGGCGCGACGAGGCCCATGAGTCTACACTATGACCCCTCTCGACACCACGGCGCGGCGGCCGCCCCGCACCACACCTCGTGGCCATCGACCATGCCGGCCAGCTTCCGGCGCTTCCAGGCGCTGCCGCCCGAGATCCGGACCATGATCTGGGAGTACTCGCTCCCGGACGGGCGCGTGTACGAGGTCCTGGACGCGCCCAACGCCAAGGCCCGCACGCCGCCGCAGCAGGGGCTCATGTTCGCCAACGTGCACCCGGAGCCCCCGCCCGGGCTGGCGGCCGTGTGCCGCGAGTCGCGCTACCTGGTGCTGCACCACTACCGGCCGCTGGCGCTGGGCAAGACGACAAAGTACGTGGACCTGTCGCGCGACATGCTGCTGCTCGAGCCCTACCTGCTCGTCAAGCGGCTGCACCGCACACTGCACTTCATGAGCCAGATCCCGCTCGTCCGCGACGGCGTCAGCCGCCTGGCCATGGGCACGTCGTACGGCATCTACACGGGCATCTGCCACCCCGTCCTGAGCTGGAAGGTGTCCAAGAGCAACATGGGCAAGCTCGTCTCGCGCCTGGCCGAGTTCCCCAAGCTCAAGACGCTCGTCTTTGTCGTGCACCAGGAGTTCCAGTTTGAGTTTGACTTTCGCCACCCCGAGTATCCCAGCAACAACCACCACAGTCACAACTACCACCTGAGCCATCACCACCACGGTCTTCACCAACAGCCACCACCCTTGGGAATATCAACAGCGCCACCACTACTGCCACCACCACCACCACCACCACCACTACCACCACAAGCATCTCATCCCATGCCGCAACCACCACAAGCATCTCATCCCATGCCGCAACCACCACCCCCGACTTCCCTCCCGCTCCCACCTCCGCTAATGATGACGCCAATCTACGACGGCCCCACGGCCACGATGCCGGCGCCGTCGCGGCCGCAGGTGGTGCACCAGGCGTACCGGTTCAAGTTCGACATCGAGGCCAACATCAACCACCACCCACACAGGCCGCACCTCAACGAGCTGCTCTACTACCCGCTCGAGGTCGACGAGGACAAGGACGACTGGGACGTGTCGGCGACCGGGGGAGCAGGAGGAGGCGCTGGGTCGTCGGACGCCACTGACGATCAGTCGGCCTGGTGCGACCCCTGGCCCACAAACGACGACTACCGCCGCTTCCGCCGCCGCTTCCAGCGTGCCGTCAACATGAGCCTCGAGATGGGCCTGGTCGAGGGCAAGCGGCCCGAGTCCCTGCCGTCGCTCCAGGGGGCCAGTCTGTTGTGGAGGTACACGCGGGGCCGGTACTCGTGACGAGGGAGGGGGGCAGACACCACAAGGTGGAAACAGCTAGACTTACGCCACCTCCATCACAAACCATCCATTCCGTTTTCATGCATACATCGCTTCGCTCCGCGGCATTTCTCTTTTCGTATTTTTTCCCCCTTGCCGCCATATTCTATTTTAATCGCCATCGGCAACGCGAACCTGGGACTCTAGCCCGGTTTCGGAAAAAGTTCAGCAGGAACCCGGCTCGTCGGCGCATTTTCCGAAACCGGGTATTGGAAGGAGAAGAGTCTCACAACTCACAGATTGGACTGGACAGCTCATTTTCTTCCTGGTAATTATTACTACTATTATCATATACTTTGATGTTCATATTTTTTTTTTTCTCAGGAGGCCATCACGGAGGAAATATCAGTTTTCTGGTTGGTTCACCCAAGTACATAGAACAGAACTGGTATTCTATTCAGAATGCCACGACATCGGCTAAATGCCTTGGGCAAGGGCCCTCCTTCCCCTGTGGGTTCCTGTGCACCTTTGCTACTCGGCAAACGACGCAAAACTAGCGAGCCTCTTGTCGATCGCATCGCCTCGAGGCGCGAGACTGTGATGTGCCAGACTCGTCTGGGCCGTACCCTCTTTTTTATCCTCGTCCGGTCACATGGGCCTCGGCACCATTGGAACTCTCGGCAAGGCGTCGGCTCGAGAATGTCTCCTCGACCGCTCGGGCCGTTAACGGATCACAAAGCTCACGCAGTCAACAAAGCCGTGCGTCCTGTTAGTGTTGCTCCCGCCAACGCCTGGTCAACTTCCCACGCCGTTCCCACGCCGCGGCGGAGGGGGGCCGGACGTGGGGTATTTACAGGGGCTTTAATGGCCCTAGACTCAAATCCGCGCTTCTTTGCGCACGGAAGCAAATCCGTGGGGGGAAGGAAGTTGCAGCATCATTCGCCCAAAACGACGCCGTCCACGGTTTCGCCTTGATGGGATAGCCCACACCCCCAAAGAGCCAGAGCCAAATGAAACCATATCCTTTTTTTTTTTCTAATGCCCCCGACGCGCGGTCTCCACTGGGCATGCCAAGATGAAAACCAAAGCACATGGCAGAGATCCGTGACGTCCGAGCAGGGTCCGGTTAGGAGATGTACCTATCCGTCAAGCACAGGGCGTGATAAGCAAGAAGGAAGACCCAGGCGTGGCTTCCCAGGGGAACCGAGACCGGCTAAATGCGCTGCAACCCTCGCGTCGTTTCGGCCGAGCCGCATCTTCCACGAGGAAACAAAAACTGACTTGACAGCAAATATGACGGTCAATGCCTCTCCAATGCAGATCTGGCGATGCAGTCATTGCCTTTGCGAGCTAGGTGACACGGGCTTGCCAGATATGTTGCACGTTGTCTATATGCCTGCACCCTGACCCCCGACCTTACTCCTGAGGCTACTCGTCGAGACTTGGCTGCGTCGGGTCTGGGAAGGCCAACCCATGCGGGCATCAAGACCGCAAGGTACATGCGAGTCCACACGACGGGTGGTGCACGTCTTTTTATCGACTATACTCCGTAGTGTGGCCGCGAGGACATCTCACACGCCACCCCCTAAAAAAAGCATACCAAATGAAGGTGTTCTGACGACGAAAGGGGCGAGGTGCCCACCCATCCCCTTGGCTTGATTCGCTTCTAGACTTTTAGGCGACATATTCCAACGTCCCATCTTTTTTTTTTTGTTCTCCTCCCTCCTCCTCTTGACAAAAAAGAAGGAAAGGTTTCCCTGTCATGGATCTTGGTTCAAATGGTTTAATCTTTTCACTCTGCCGACATCCAAGCTTTTCGGCAGCATCGGTAGTCGGTAGAGTCAAGACGCAGCACCCAACCGCAATCACATAATGCCGACCGAGAAGGGGCCGCCTCTTGGCCGCCTGCATGGGACATCCAAAGCCCTGCTGCCTGCCGGCGTTGGGACGCTTGAAAGCTTCTGGCTCCAAGCTTATTTAATTGAAGCGTAACTTGCTCCAAAGAGAAGACCCTTAGCGGGGGGCCCTGTTCGCAAGGCACCAGGGCCAAGGTAGAAATATCGTGTCTGTGTGGTGTTGTTGGTAGATTGAACGATGGGAAGGATCAGCGCCAAAATAAAAGATACCGAGGCTAGCGGCGAGGGCAGACTGGGGGCGTTCATGCCTCATCTCGTGTCACGGCGGACCGAGTTGGGTTGAGTTTTGGGGTCAATGCAGGACAGACCAAACAAACAACCAACCGAGAAAAAAAGAATTGAGAGGGCGGAAATCCGAGAGAGTCGAGATCAAACAGCGACAGCCAGGAAGCGGCTGCGCGTCGTACAGCCCCGTGCCCGCTACAGGTTGCCCGTATTAGGGTCGCCCTGCCCGCAGCCATGTATCCGGCAATGCGCGTTGCGGCTCGGTGGCGGAGGTGAACGAGAGAGCAAAAAAAAAAACATTCCAACTGCGGCCCATGGGCGTCCATCGGCGGCGTGTCTCGTATTAATGTATTATGGTTCCGAGGGGAGGCGCGTGCTGTGTACAGAGTCGACGAGTCCGATGGCCGCTTGGCAGCTCGACAGGTTGCGCAACTTGCGAAGAAGCTGTCAATGCCGGGTCCAGGTTGCGAATGTCGAGCCTCGCGTGAGACCACACACACACCACCGCCGCTGACATCATGCTGCCGGGCTTGCCGGACATATCGGTCATTCAGAAAACGACGAGCTTGCTTCCAGATGGTGGGGGCACAGGGCCGAGTGGCTTCTGGCTCAAGGGGACTGACTTGGAGACAGATGAAGCCGCTTAGATATGGTTTCTCACATGGAAATGCATCTCAAGCCTCATTTGATCATTGCGGGACAAGAAAGAAGTGGCGGTGAGAATCTGGTCCGTGTGGCAGAACGGAGAAAGAGAAGGAGTCGTCTATTTACACCAAAGGTTCGAGGAGAGCCGACAAGACATCAGCAAGCAATAATTAAAATCTTACGCGGGGCGCTATTTGCGGTGTGTCCCTCCACCCGGACAGAAAAACACGCCCAGTCAGCCGCCCCTGCAAAGCCCGAGGACAAGCGAGCGACTAGCCGACAAGCATCGAGCGAGCTCAGACAGCTAAGAGCCGTCCTCGATTCCACTGTAGCCGCGGGCTATGGACCGCAGCAGCGACCGGCAAAATGCCAGCGAGAGGACGGCGCTCTTGGGCGCGGCACAGGTCGCGCAGCCCGCCGAGGCCGTAGAGGCATTGGCGGACGGGGCCGCCAAGAAGGGCTACGGCGCAACCGGCGACCGCAACGGCACCCGCAACGGAGACGGGCCGGCCTCGTCCTCATCCTCGTCCTCGGTGGCCCCCGGGTCCGTCGTTGACGAGGAGACGGCCCCTGCCGCCGCCCCCGACGACGGCGACGACCACATCCCCAAGGCGCAGGTCTTCTGGCTCTGCATGGCGCGGCTCGTCGAGCCCGTCGCCTTCTTCTCCATCTTCCCCTACATCAGCGAGATGGTCAAGCACAACGGCGGCCTGGCCGACGCCGACGTCGGCTTCTACAACGGCCTGACCGAGTCGCTCTTCAGCCTGACCCAGGCCGCCGTCATGATCAGCTGGGGCCGCCTGGCCGACCGCGCCGGCCGCAAGCCCGCCCTGGTCGCGTCGCTGGCCGGCGTCGCCGTCGCCACCGCCGCCTTCGGCCTGTCCACGTCGCTGCTCCAGATGGCCGCCGCCCGCTGCCTCGCCGGCGTCTTCGCCGGCTCCGTCGTCACGGTCCGCGCCATGCTGGCCGACGTCAGCACCCCGGCCACCCAGGCCCGCGTCTTCAGCTGGTTCGCCTTCTCCGGGAACCTCGGCATCTTCGTCGGCTCCCTCATGGGCGGCGCCCTCGTCGACCCGGCCCACCAGTACGGCGGCGTCTTTGCGCGCAGCGCCTTCCTGAGGGACTACCCCTACGCGCTGCCCAGCTTCGCCGTCGGTGCGCTGTCTGCCGTGGCGTGCGTGACGACGGCGCTCTTCGTCAAGGAGACCCTCCCCTCTTCCGACGACGACGACGGCGACGACGGCAAAGTGCTTGCCAACAGCAGCAGCAGCAACGACGACGACGACGACGGCGACTTTGAGAGCGAGGCGGCGAGGAAAAAGGCATCCGCGGCGGAGAAGGCGCGGCAGGAGTCCATCTGGCAGCTGCTCCACGAGCCGGGCGTGCAGCCGGTGCTGCTCAACTTTGCGTGGCTCTACTTTGTGGCGTCGGGCTACACCGTCATCATCCCGCTGTGGTGGTTCACGCCCGTCTCGCTCGGCGGCTTCGGCTTCACGCCGCTGCAGATCTCCGTCATGACGGCCTTTACCGGCATCGTGCAGGCCGTCTGGCTCCTCGTCGTGTTCCCGCCGCTGCAGCGCCGGCGCGGCACCAACGGCGTCATGCGGCTCTGCGCCGCCGCCTACCCGCTCTTCTTCGCCGTCGCGCCCGTCGCCAACGCGCTGCTGCGCCTGGGCCTCGGGCCGGCCTTTTGGGCCTTCTTCCCGCCGTCGCTGGCGCTGAGCAGCGGCGTCGCCATGGCCTTTACGGCCTCGCAGCTCGCCATCAACGAGGTCAGCCCCTCGCCGCGCGTGCTGGGCACCCTGACGGCCTTCTCGCTCATGATGACGAGCGTCTCGCGCGCCGTCTGCCCGGCCCTCTTCACCAGCCTGTTCGCAATCGGCGCCAGGACCCAGCTGCTGGGCGGCTACGCCATCTGGGCCCTCCTGGCCGCCCTGGCCGCCGGCTTCGCCGCCGTGACCAGGCTGCTGCCGGACTACGAGGAGCTCAGGCGCCAAAGGCTCGAGAGGGTGCGGGCAGAGGCGGGGGATGCGACGGTCGCGAGCGGCCTGTTGGAGTTGAGGGGCAATTGATGGTGGTGGACCTGACGATGATCATTGTGCGTATGTCTACTCTGAAGATGGGACCACACACTTCTAGACATGTTTCATGGCTTTAGACCCAGATAGATCACATCTTATCTTGAATACCCAGAAGTATCAGATAGATAGATACTTACTGTCCCACTACTCTGCGCATTCGCTGGACTACAAAGTTGCGTATCGTGGCCCCCGGGCAACACTAATCAAAAGGAGTCCAAGACTCAGCATGAGAAACTTGATGAGAAAAATTGTTTGTTAAAGTATTTGCGAGAAGGAGAATAAGAGGGAGAACCACTGTCTGGTCTCGAGTAACTCCGCCAAATGTGAACGCCTCCAAGTGAAATGAAGCCAGGCGCCCGACTGCCTGATAATGCAAACAAATCCCAAACTCCCCAGTGATGCTGTAGCCTGAACCCAACCATATATATCCCAACTCCTTGATGATGCAGCACTAGGTAGATCCCAATGATCCCCATGAAAACAAAAACCCAAAACGCCTTTTTTTTTTCTCAACCGAACCTCTCAGGTGGAGGCATGTCTTTCTTCTTGTTATACCGACGATCCCCGTGACAGGACGTCCCCTAGTACTGAGAGTCCAGGGACTCCCGCATGCGGCTGGAGCGCGTGGGCAGGAAGAAGTTCTCGTTGGACGCCGACCGCGAGCGGCCGAGTGCCGGGGGCTGGCGCTGCTGCTGCTGCTGCTGGGGCCAGGTCTCGGTGACGGGGCCGGACCGGGAGAACTGCAGCTCGCGGATGCGCTGCAGCTGGGGCTTGGGCGACGACGGCGGGGACGACAGGGGCGTGCGGGGGCTGGAGGCGCCCGAGGCGGTCATGTTGGCGCTGTAGTAGACGGAGCCGGACATTTTTTGTGAGGTGGTTGTTGGGAGGCGTGAGAAAGAAGATGTGGTTGTGTGAGTGGTGTGAGTGATGAGGATCCGGGCGCAATCAAGGGCTCGGGCTGGATGACTTTCAAGGGTGGGTGAAGTCGAGTGTCGAAAGAGGAGCAAGGGATGAAATTGTGAGGTGACAAGACAGCCAAGAGATGCGGATATGCGCGTGGGAAGCAATCGGAGAAAAGATGCTTTGCAGTGTTAGCTGTGTGTATCAAAGGCCCTGTGAGCTGCTCTGAGGATGAGGAATGAGATTGGAGGTGGTTGGCAAAGTCTCTTTGGCCAGTTGTTTATATAAAATCGTCGGGAACGGGGACCGACAGGGCTTCGTCAACTTGCTTCCAATATTCGCGGCATGCGAGCGGCACAGGCATCCCCAGAGCCATGTCCGACTTACTGGGCCAAGAGGCTTGATCACGCAGCCCTCGCTACCCTGGAGATTGCTAGTTCCACCGAGCCCGGCGAAGCAATCACCAACGGGGAAACCACCCCGCAGCCACGGTGTAATCCTACTGGACATGGGGTAGGTTGTGTGTGAGGGCATGTTTTGTTTCTCCTCCTCCCCGCGCCGCCCAACATCGAGCCCAGGGTGCGGGCAAACGAGATTGCCGCCTGCCTGCCTGCCTGCCTGCCTGCCAGCCCGCCCGCCCGTTCTCACTTTCTAAAGTTAGGAGCAAGGTAGCGTGGTGGACGGTTTAGTGGGCCGTTCTGCTTACTACACGCGCAGGCTGGGCGCCGTGGGCCGTGGCAGTGCGCCCCCAGAGCTATTGGGAGGCTTGGGGAGGGGCTGCGCAAACGCCGTTGTGGGAAGCCCAGCTAGGCCGCCAGCATTTTGGCTGAGGGGAGAGGAGGCACAGGCATAGGCCTTTGCAGCGCGGCGAGATCTGACTTGACAGACCTCCCGTATGCTCTGATTCGCCCTCTCGGGCCTCTGGTCCCTGACCAGGTGGCTCTCTCCCCTGTCCAAAAACCCCGGCGTCAGGCTGTGTGTGTGTGTCTGGACCATCTCATCAGCCATCTCAGGTCCTCCTTCCCCCTCATTGCGTGCATGGGTTTGTGCGCACGACACGGCATGGCCCAGCAGCCAGCCGTCCGCCGCTGCTCCTCAGAATCTTTCTGGACAGGCACGACCGGCAAGCGACGCGCTCTCAGGGACTGGGGCGAGGCAGGCACGCGTGCACGCGCGACGTTGTTACCCGACGTCTCAGGGCCCACCGCTGCTTCCCTGAATCGGGCATGGGGTGCTACTCCAGGCCACCCCTTGGTGCCTCCTAGAGTCCCTTTTTGTTTCTTTTTTCGGCAGCGTTTTCAGTGCCCACTATTGCTTGTGCAGGCGCGAGTCGGCCAGTGGCCGCAACGGAGCGCAGTCGACCTAAACCTTATCAGAGCACTTGCCCTGAGGCGCTGGCTGAGCAGGACATGAGGACATGAAGGAAGACTATGAGAAATAATGACAGATAATTATAAATGAGAATACAAGATAATATCATCGCATTGTCTTCTTAGATAGGTATCCAAATATTCACATCAAGTAACGTGCGTGCAGCCGACGTGACCCGACTTGCCCGCCCTTCCAAAGCCCCGCGTGCTTTCTCGGACTATTATTATAAGCGTACTTCGAGCCCGGCCCGCGAACTGACAGCTGGCCTCAGAAATCGGAAACGACTGGAACCCCAGCCGTGCGCTACCACCCAGAAATATTTCTCGCCTAGGAACAACGGGGGCGACCTGCCACGACGTCTGGTTAAAACCCCGACTCTACCCACGACCTGCACACAAAGAGCAAGTCTCTTTCCCCAATTCCCGGTGCACCAACGTACAGACACCAAAACCCCCACGCAGGGAAATGCAACAGCGGCCATGAAGATCTCGACACTATCGCTCGGCCTGCTGGCCCTCTTGACGCCGTTTGCGGCGGCCTGGAACAAGGAGGGTGAGTTGCGTTCCGTCCTCTCGTTGCGCTTTCTGAAGGCACATCTCTGTGGATGGTAGCACCCGTTTGGTTGCTTGTCAGACCATTGCTGACGCCGCCTCTCATTCATCAAAAAAAAAGACCGCGAGATCTTCCGCGTCCGCGACGAGCTCATCGCCGGCGAGGGCCAAGACGTGACCTTTTACGACTACCTGGGCGTCAAGCCCGCGGCTTCCGTCGATGACATTAGCAAGGCCTACCGCCAGAAGTCGCGCCAGCTGCACCCGGACAAGGTCAAGCAGCAGCTGACGGCGGAGCGCGCGCGCGCGGCCAAGGCCAAGGACAAGAATAAGAAGAAAAAGCCACCAACGCACGCCGAGGTCAAGGCGGCCATCAAGAAGGCGTCGGACCGCCAGGCCCGCCTGTCCATCGTGGCCAACATCCTGCGCGGGCCCAGCCGCGACCGCTACGACCACTTCCTCTCCAACGGCTTCCCGTCGTGGAAGGGCGCCGACTACTACTACAACCGCTACCGCCCCGGCCTGGGCACCGCCATGTTCGGCGTCTTCCTCGTGGGCGGCGGCCTGGTCCACTACCTGATCATGTACATGAACTGGAAGCGCCAGCAGGAGTTCGTCGGCCGCTACATCAAGTTTGCCCGCCAGACCGCCTGGGGCGATAGCCTCGACATCCCGGGCGTCGAGGCCGCCATCTCGCCGCCGTCGCCGCCGCCCGCCGCCGCCGCCGCCGAGTCTGAGGAGCAGCAGGCCGCCATGCCCATGAACCGCAAGCAGCGCCGCTTCCAGGAGCGCGAGACCCGCCGCGAGGCCACCAAGGGATCCGCCGTGGGTGGCGGCCGCCGCCGCAAGGCCTTTGCCGCCAGCGGCAGCGCCACCCCGACGCAGCAGTCGTCGGGCCCCACGGGTGCTAAGAAGCGCGTCGTGGCCGAGAACGGCAAGGTCCTGGTGGTCGACTCGCTCGGCGACGTGTACCTCGAGGAGCAAGACGAGGACGGCAACCTTGCCGAGTTCCTGCTTGACGTGAGTTCTACACTTTACTTTCCCCCGATGTGGTATTTCCTATCAAAAAAAAAAAAAAAAATTTAATGTCGTAATCTAACAAACTACCCCGCCCCACTTAGCCCAACGAGATGGCCAAGCCCACCATCAAGGACACGGCCCTGTTCCGCCTGCCCATCTGGGCCTACCGCTCGACCGCCGGCCGCATCCTGGGCGGCAACAAGGACTACGAAGCCCTCCCCGCCGAGGACATCGACGACGAGCCCACCCCGGCCGACGACGACGACTCGTCGGAGCCCGGCAAGCGCACGCCCAGCACCGACTCTGCCGAAGACTTTGAGCTGCTCGAGAAGTCGACCGACTCGCTCGGCGAGGCCAAGAGCGCCCAGGGCAAGGGCAACAAGAGCGCCAGCAAGCGCAAGCAGAAGAAGAAATAAACCAGAAAACGAAAGCAAAAACAAAAAAGTAAAGGGACATGGGCTTGTGGAATGTGGTGGGGAAGACGTGGCGCTTTGGCGCACCACGAGTCCCCCCCTCGCCTCTCGAACAACCTTTATTGGTGGCGCTTTGGGCTCGTATCGCATAGTACCCGCTACTGCTCTCTTCTTTTTTTTTTTTTTTTACGCGAAGCTTTCCATCTTTTTAACGTCTCATCGTCATCTGGAACGGAGGGGGCGGCGGTGGCGGATCTTGTACGGCGAGAGGCGCACACAAGGAGCTTTTGGCGTTTTTGTCCACAGTGCTACATGAGGTTGAGGGCGGATAAAAACATTCGGAACGCGCATGCGATGCAATAGAGATGCTCATTTACGAGCCTTGTTTTTTCTACACCTTTTCTGTGGCTAAATCCGGTTCGACTGGCTAGTGCAACGAAACAACGATGGCATGTATTTACGAGAAGGGTCCAGTGAAGCCGGAAGCATGAGGGCGGCTCATATCCGGCCGGATCTACAAAGGCGACCTGGACCATCTTTCAAATCACATGCTGGTACTTCCCAAAAGACAGGCCCGCTTATCGATGAGTATAGCGGGCGGTCATGTGCGCGCTTGGTGATGGTGATGGCGTCCATCGACAATAGACCGGCTGGCACTTGATGGCCGATCCGAGACTTTGTCAGTTCCACAACAAAGTCACATGATGCCCTTGACGGCTAACCACCGCCCTCACAGCCCGGATGCTCTCCAGTGCGTTGATCAGTTCTCGTTTGCGAGGGACTTCATGCTATGTATTCAACGCATAGCACGTAACCCGGGCAGATGCGTGTCGCAAAAATGGAATCCGAACAACACAAAAGGAAACATGTTGCAGGTAGAAGGGATTGGCACGGTGTGAGGCTATTCCGGTTGATATGCTCTAAGGAGGAAAGGATCTGAAGTGCAGGGTCCCGTAGGGCCTCTGCCCTTTATATACACGTGACTCCCTGTCCTCCTTGCTTACTAAGCTTCCCTCCTGACGCCTGGAAGCGTCATACGCTTCCAGGCAGGGGGACCGCTCTTCCGATGCCTCAGGCATCTGATATTTATGCCTAAGGCTTCCTCATGACAGTATATACTGTCTACTTTGTGACAAAACATCACGTCCTTTAGAGATACTCAGTAAGGGGTTTCCAGAAATTAAGGTAGCAGTTTCTTGTTCAGCGAAAGGGCCTCTCTCAAAAACAAGTCCATGGGACAAGAAGAAACCAAGACCTCGCACAGTCGCAGAACCGGCAAAAAACATAAGCTAGCGCTTGGTTCAGTTCAACGGCCTCCCCTGCCTCCCTCCGAAGAAGTCACCAAAAAGTGAGCTAGCAACTCTTGGTTTCGATCCAAGGACCTCCGGGTTATGAGCCCGGCGCGCTTCCCCTGCGCCAAGTTGCTGTTCTTGGATAAAATATTGACCTGATGGCTGTATTATGTGCGTTAGGGCTCCGGGGTGAGCCCTCACCCCTCCTCCCCCACTTGTGCTAACTTTTGGGGGCGGGGAGGCGGTCAGCCAGTCCGACGAAAATCGGCTTACGGGGGGGGGACATGGAATGGGGTGGGTGGGCTGGCCGGGTCTGCTCTCCACAGAGTGCAACGTGTTGGTATGACGCCTTCGGGTCCCACCTGCGCTCTCGCTCTGTCTCTCTCGGCATAAACAGTCGTCGTGGCCGCTTACCCGCCGTGTCTGTATAGAATCGCAGCAAGACATTATGCCCGACGGGGGACTCGGAGGACGGCGAGGAGCGATAGGGTTGGCTGATCCGGTCGGCCGGGCGTTAATGAAACACGCATTGGATATGATAGCTCTCTGACTTTTATGTCGATGCTACGTGGTACAAGTAAGGATGGTCGACGTTTACAGTGGAAGCCAGCGGCGGCATCGGGGGCTGATTGTCGTGTGCCTGCCTTCTCCATCCGTTTCGTTTCTATTTGTGGGGTTCCTCCACCTGGGGCGTGGTTGTTTCTGCCGAATCGGATCTCCGGAGTGTCGTCTCTCTCGTAACAGAGCTGCAAACCGAGAGGGAGGGGAAGGAGAGCTTCCATTCTACACAATGTTCCGAGTGCTTCGGAGTAAGACAGTTCGCTAGAGCAGCCAGTGGTCACCGTCCACGTCCTCGGGGAATAGAACCCGTTGGAAACAGCTTGGGCTTGCGGGCCCGTCCGGGCTGCAGTTTCTGCGCCATGGCACGATCCATCCGTTGAGATTTCCATCATGCCTTTGGAGGAAGTCAAGTTGGGCAACTACGGGTTGCATGTCGATCCCATTTACTCCCCGACAACCCCTCAGTTCACCAGCTATCTCGGGTATCATCCCATCCAAGCCCCTCGCTCCGCCAGCAGGACGTGAGAAGGGACGGCAGCCAACCAATTGATAACGGCAGGCGCATCCTTGCAGCACAAGGGATGGCCAGGCTGGCAAGGACAGCTCGTGTCATCGAACAAGCGGTGTCGCACCCACATATTATGCAGGCGGAACGCGTAGTATGCATGGAGGGGAGCTGACAGCTCTCTTCCCTGGCACCGCGTCTACGACGGAAGGCGGGCAAGGAAACAAGAGGGCTGCGACTTGGCCTGCTGTGATATGCCACCTAGTTTAAGGCCCGGCCGCGAAGGAGGAAAAAAAACACCGCGTATGCAAGAGAAGGGCGGGGCAGCAGGCAGGACCAGGGCGGTCGGGCACCAGCAGAAAAACCAAGAGAAAAATGGAATGGGGGGTAGAGGCCTGCCGCTTTACTGCACACACATGTGAATAAAAGCTGCACTCCCCCGGCCTTTCCCTCCTGGACCACCCTTTCTTCTTGTTTCCGGTCAACTTCCCTGGGGATAGGTTCCCGAACCTCCCCTTTTCCCCTTATTTCCCCCAAAACCTCAGACCCGAGACGGCTTCTGGACCGGCTCGAGCCTGGGGGCAAGCCACTCGGACCGTCTCTGTCTCGTGCTTCGGCCGAGGGAGAGTGAGTGGGGAGGGGAGCAACCAGGGGTGTAGCCACTTTTTGTGGCAGCACCGCCCTGCCACGGAAGCACGCAGCGCCTGCTTCTCGAAGCGAAGCGGATCGAGAGCGGCTGGTGACGCGCACGAGAGAGAGCCCACACGAAGCCCATCGTGACGGCTTCCAGATCAAAGAGGAAAGGTACGACTGATTCTATCGCTGCTGCCTGCGCCCTCCATCCTTCCCTCCAAAAGCTTCGTGCTTTCTTGCGTAACCCCCCTTCTGCTGGCTTCAACGGCAGCGTGGCCTTTTTTCTTCAGCTCACCGTCAGCCGGGCTGTTTGAACTTTGGGGCCTCGCTACTGGCCCATCCGGCAATTGGCACCCCTGCAAACGAACTGTCAGAAATAACCTAACAATTATTTAATTCTCAGCCAGTGCAACTTCCCCTTTTGACCACGAAGCTGCCACTACTTTTTTCTGCCCGTCCACTTCGACTTCTCAGACACAACATTCTCGACGGCTGCGGCCAACCAACCACCACCAAAACACACTCTCTTCCCACTCTCTAGTCCTTTGGACTGGTTCTACACAAACACTCATCCTACACCACACATAGCGCTCCCACGCCCCCACCCGCAACCATGACCGGCATCCAGATCCCGCTCGACATGTTGACGTCGCGCTTCAACCTGTCGGGCCGCCTCGCGGGCCTCAACCAGGCCGGCGTCATGAGCCGCTTCTCCAACCTGCGACCGATCGGCGAGTTCTGCGACTTCAAGCGGCTGTCCAAGCCCGAGAACTTCCACGAGGTGCAGTCGCGCGTCAACTACAACCTCAGCTACTACTCGAGCAACTACTCAGTCATGTTCGTCATGCTCTGCATCTACACGCTCCTGACCAACTGGTTCCTGCTCTTCGACATCATCTTCGTCACGGTCGGCCTGTTCATCATCGGCAAGCTCGACGGCCGCGACCTCGAGATCGGCACGTTCCGCGCATCCCCCTCGCAATGCTACACCGGACTCCTCGTCATCGCCATCCCAATCGGCCTGCTGTCGTCGCCCTTCAGCACCATTGCGTGGCTCATCGGCGCCTCGGGCGTCACCATCCTGGGCCACGCGGCCCTGATGGACAAGCCGATCGATGAGGCTTTTTCCGGGGAGGCGGTCTAGGCGGTCGGCCGCGAGCTCCCAAATTTTCGCCCCACGAGGGAAGACCATCAAGGCGCGGCAGGGGCAAGCAGAACCCTGCCGGCGCCGCCTGGGGAGGAGGAGAGGACGGTGGAAGGTTCGAGGAGGTTGACAGCGGCATCGACGAGGACGGTGCGTATGCGGTTGGGTTTCCTAACAGTTCTTCGTCCGCATTGGTGCGGCGGTCGGGCTACATGGACGATGAGGACGACGGGGAGGAGCCCGAGGAGTTGATTTGCGAGAGGGCCATGGCGAGGATCCGTGAGGCCAAGTCGCAGGGCCGCGGCGACGTGGACCTGACGCCGACCGAGGTGGCGGCCCTCACGCGCATGAAGGAGCGCAAGAAGAAGGAGGCCGAGCGGCGCCGCCTGGCCGAGAAGCGCGTCTCGGTCCCGCTCTCGTCGTTCGAGCTCGACGACGACGAGCTCCCCGAGCACCCGCCTCCTGGGGTGCTCGACGGCCGCGCCGAGCGCCAGGCATACCCACCCGTCGGCTACTTCCCGCCCCCGTCGGCCGTGCAGCCGCAATCAAGAAAGCACTCGGGCACCAGCTCGCACCGCGGCCGGCGCGGCGACGACGAGATGTACATGCTCCCCGCCGCCTCGGCCCCTTCACTCGACCCGGACTACTACATGAGCAACGCGGGCCCGCACGCGCCGCCCGGCGCCGTCGTGGCGGCCCACCGCACCTTCTCGGGCCCGCAGCCGCGGTCGAGGCGGCGCGGCGACGACATGAGCGACGAGGGCAGCGGCGACGAGACGGACAGCGACGAGTACAGGGACGGCGGCGCCCGTGGCCGGCGCGAGGCCACCATCATCGTCGAGGCGGCCCGCGGCGACCGGTCAATGACGCCGGACCTCAGGCGGTCGTCGCGCCGCAACGCCAGCAAGTCGCCCGCCAAGCGCAGCAGCAAGCCCGTCGCCGCCGACAAGGACAAGGGCAAGACGTCCACTGCCACCTCGACCAAGAGCCGCAAGAAGCGGTGATGAGACGGTCTGGCTCTGGCTGTCGTGCGTCGGCCACCTCACTAGCAAAGTAATTGCTGCACACGCGTCCAAGACGGAACATGAGGGAAAAGGAATGGGGACTAAAACGGGGGGATCGAGGATGGGTACTTTTTCCTGGCGTCTTTTTCATTGTTTGATAGACATGATTAGGTATCTGCATGATGTTTCCTGGTCATGTGGAGTTATTCTTATTTTTGCGTGGACGGTTTTTTTTTTTTCACTCTAACGAGCGACGTTCTTTACCTTGCGTTATTGTGTACCGTTCTCCATATTGACACAAGTGCATAACTCGCGATGATTCGTATCGCATTCAGAAAAACTGCTGGTCCAAAACTATTGCGCGCTCTTACACTTGCTCTAGCTTGTCACTGATATCTATCCAAGAAGATCCTTCGGAGGCATGACACCGGGGACCAGCCCTCACGCTGGAGACCTGATCCTACAGAGACCTCCCCTCCCCTCGTCCGTAGATGCCGACGCTCCCGGTAGACATCTGCCCGCCTGCCCGCCCGACTGATTACCTGCTTGCCTGAAGAATGGCCGGCCCAATACCCAAAACCGAAACACCGGAAAAAGCAACCCTATATAGGTATAAACGTAGACAAAGGAAATGGAATAGACGGGGCTTAGGAGAAGAACTTGGACACGCTGCCCATCCACCCTTTATTCCCACCACCACTGCTGCCACCGCCGCCAAACCCACCAAACCCGCCCAGCATGGACCCAAGCCCACCACCACCGCCACCACCACTGCTGCTCCCATACCCCTCACCATACCAGTCATCGTCATTATTGCGGCGGTACGTCGTCCGCCTCTCCCAGCTCTTATCGCCGTCCCAGCCCCGCGCGATGGTGGTGGCGGCGGTGGCGGCCGCGCCGGCGCCCGAGGCCATGCGGACGGCGTCGCCCACGAGCCCGACGCTGTCGCCCCTCATGACCTTTGCGCCCATGCCGAGCAGCGACTCGAGGGCGGCGGGCATGCGCATGCCGAAGCGGGCGAGCAGGGCCGTCAGGGCGCCGCCCGTGACGAGCGGCATGACGACGAGCATGAAGACGCGCAGCGGGTGGCGCTTGGCGTAGTGCACCAGGTCGCGCAGCAGGCGCTTGAGCTTGCGGTACGACCGCTGCATGAAGGACTGGCGCGGGGAGCGCTTGTAGTAGGACGGGGAGCGGCCCTTGTCTGTTGGGGGGGTGGGAGTGCTTGTTAGTGGGAATCGTGGTGCATGTGTGTGTGTGTGTTTGGACGAGAACAAGTGCCAATGATCGGACGACAAGTGTCGGACGATCAGACGGAGACAGAGAAAGAAGAAGAAAAAAGAAAAAAAGAAAAAAACTCACCAGCGCCAAAGCCAAAGAACGACCCCCTGCTCGAGTTGCCCAGCGGCAGGTTGAAGAAGGATTTTGCGTCGCCGCTGCCGCGGCGCTTCTCTTCCTTGCCGCTGCCGCTACCACCGAACAGGGACGAGTGCGAGGCGTTGTTCTTCTCGTACGAGCCGCCGCCGCCGCCGCCGCCGAAGATGCTCGAGATGCCGCGGTCACGGTCGCCGCCGCGGTCGCGCGACCGCGACCGGTGACGATGACTGCTGCTCTTGTGGCTGCCCTTGTGCGAGCGGTGCTTGCGCGACGACGACCCGTGGCCGCCGCCGACGCCGAGCGTCGATGCTGCGTCGTCGAAGAGGCCCATTCTGTCTGTGGGTGTGCGCTCTGTGTGTTGTGCTGAATTGTGTTGTGCTGTGTTGTGCTATGTCGTATTGTGTCGCCCCGTCTGTGCTTTTTGGGGGAGAAATGGGGGTTGACAAGGGCAAGAGTTGAGCTCCTGCGTGTAATACGATGATGATGCGATCGAGGAGGGTCGGTCTACTGTAGGTGCTAAGCTGGTAGCTACCTCAAAATGTGGGCGGAGGTTTTTCTTTTTCGCGGGGGAGAAGGCGGGTCGAGGCGAGGGATTATCGCGATCGATGGGGGGAGAAGCCGAGCACGGGCAGCGGAGAGTGGTCACGACTTAGTGTGTGTGTGTGTGTGTGTGCTACCAGAGCTGCTACAGGGAGGCTGGGGTTGAGATGAAGGAGAATAATAAGCCAGGGGTGAGAAAATCCCACAACGTAACGGGCGCAACACACGATTATTATCTTTTTTTTTTCCTTCTCTCTCTCACTCTTTCGCTTCCTCAACATCAGCTTTCTCACATGGCCACTGTCGATTGGCCCACACAGAGGCGTGCGTTCTCGAACTGCGAAAGATGCGCCCCTGAGCGGATTGGACAGACAGGTCCATCTTCCTGCCTGGTCGGGCGGATTGCAGTTCGTGCCCCATCCATTGGCTTTCTTTTTTTCGGCCCACAAGAGGACACAGGCACGCAGGAACTTGACCCCTGCCACCTCGATTTTTCCACCCCGAGCTCTTCACCGCCTGGCTTGACCCCCGGTTTGGCTGTGAGGGGGCGCGATGCAGGGCATGTGGGCCCTGATTGCTTGGCGCGCTGAAACCTGCCGGACCGGGGGGCCTCCCCTCCTGCACGGATGGCGCGAACCGGACGCCGCCAAGGTGGCCTGGTCCGCACTTGGGTAGGATGGCGACGAGGAGAAGGCGTGGGACGGGGTTCTGGAGCTGAGCTTCCGAAGTGTTCAGGTTCCCCGATCTGGCACACTGATCTTGGTGCGCTTTTTTGCAGGGTGGGAAAACACTCCCGGGCGGAAAGGGCTTCTCATAGGATGGCATGAAGGGGGGCACATGTCCGAGTGCCTGGTTTGGTTGGCACTCCGCTGACGACCCGTTGATACCAAGCTCAAGACAAAAACCAAACAACCCACAGTGCGCACATAGGGACCTGCAAGCCTCTATCGGCTCAATGTGAGCAAGCACATGCAGGACGCTGGGCGTTGAAGCCCACACTAACATGCGTCTATCCCATCGCTTAGAGCAACAGCAGCAGCAGTAGCAGCAGTAGCAGCAGTAGCAGTAGCAGCAGCAGCAGTAGCTGCCACGGGAATTCTTACTCGATCCGTGTGCGTGTCGGTGTGGGTCGGTCTGGCAATATCGATATGTCCCGTCATCGTTTTGCCCGCCTTCGGCATTGCACCCTTGGGCAGCTCTGCGTGTCTGCCTCTGCGAGGTCCCCACAGGTGAGGGCTCGGAACCAAGCTCTGCGCCCGGTCCAGACCCCGGGCCCCAGCCGTTATGTCGCTGTCGCTGTTGCTGTCGACGTGTAAGTCGACATGTCCACACGGCTAATGGGGGAAAAGCCCACAGCTTGCCCGGTTTTTGGGCGCCCCTTGCGGCGTGGTGCATGATGCACTTCACCTCGTATCGTCTCATTGTTGTTTTCTCTTCCTGTGCTGTCGGGCGAGAACGACAGCTGTCAACCGAACGGAGGCGTGGTGTGGTTACTGGGGGTGGTGTCACTGCAGGAGATGCTTGGCCGCTGGTTGGAGTCAAGCCCGGAGACGCACCGAGATGGGAGACGTCTACGTGTTCATTTATCCAACAGTGTGAATGTATGGCTATATACTCGGTAGGTAATGCAGACTGACAAGTTGTTCAGCGCACACCCGGTGACTATATACGTGCCTGTTTATGCGAGCGAGTTGTGATGGGATATGAGTGTGGGATATGAGGACATCAAGATCCAGAGCTTGGGAAAAAAATGACCTGAATTTCTAGGCAGACCCTAAATATAAAAGGGTGAGCCCAGAGTGATACTGACACGCATCTAAGAGTAGTTTGTGTTGCTTGTCTTCCCTGGATTTCACATGGGAAATATAGAAACGTCAAAGGGTCTTGCCATGCATTTCCCAAAATCCGATCCCAGAGACCCACTTCTTTCGACCAGCTGTGGCGCCTACTTCAGCCACACAAAAGCAGCAGCACCAGCCACACCCGCCCTAATCCAAGCTCTCCCCACCTCAGACGCCGCAACGCGCAGCTCCAGGTGCCTGAAGGGCTGACGCTGGCTGGAGCTTGCCTTGCCCGCCCCATGGATGCGGTATCGACAACACAAACCCCCAACGCCGCCGCCAACCGCCAACCGCCGCCAACCGCGCCCGATCTCCACGAAGCACCAACGAACAAGGCCTGCCTGTCGGACCGTCTGTCTAATCGCTTTTGTGGGAGTTTCCACTTCCGCCCGCACATACACAAGACACAATGGTGAGAGCTTCAAGTCGTCAACCTTCTCCGCTTCGACAGAGGCGGGCCCAAGCTCCTCCTCAACCACCACCACCACCACCACCACCACAACCAGCTAACATGGAACCTACCCTCCCCCCACGCAGACCTCGATAGGGACGGGCTATGACCTGGCAAACTCCATCTTCTCCCCGGACGGCCGCAACTTCCAGGTCGAGTACGCCGTCAAGGCCGTCGAGAATGCCGGCACGTCGGTAGGCATCCGGTGCAAGGACGGCATCGTGCTGGCCGTCGAGAAGGTCGTCACGTCCAAGCTGCTCAAGCCCGGCGCCAACAAGCGCATCGCCACTGTCGACAGGCATGTTGGAGTTGTACGTCTTTGCTCTCCTACTGCCCCCCACTGATATTCCCCTCCTCCCACTTCCCCGAGACAGTGTCACTAACCTCCTTCAACCACCCTCCCCCTAAACAGGCCTACTCTGGCATGGTCCCCGACGGCCGCCACTTCGTCGACCGCGCCCGCGACGAGGCCCGCTCGTGGCGCGACAACTTCAAGGCCCCCATCGGCACCGCCGAGCTGGCCGGCCGCATGGGCGGCTACCTGCAGGCCTACACGCTGTACCAGTCGGTGCGGCCCTTCGGCATCACCGCCATCGTCGGCGGCTGGGACTCGTCGCTCGAGCTGCCCGTCGACGGCGAGGTTGGCGCCGGGCCCTCGGTCGGCGCCGGCGGCAAGGCCGCGGGCAAGAAGCACGGCGGCGCCCGCCTGTACATGATCGAGCCCTCGGGCCTCTACTGGGGCTACTACGGCGCCGCCACGGGCAAGGGCCGCCAGGCGGCCAAGGCGGAGCTCGAGAAGCTCGACCTGGCCGGCGAGGGCATCTCGCTCCTCGACGCCGTCAAGGAGGCCGCCCGCATCATCTACGTGGCCCACGACGACAACAAGGACAAGGAGTTCGAGCTCGAGATGACGTGGATCAGCGACGAGGACGGCCCCACAAAGGGCCGCCACGAAGAGGTGCCCAAGAAGCTGCTCCAGGAGGCCGAGAGGTTGGCCAAGAAGTCGCTCGAGGATGATGATGATGAGGACGAGAAGAAGGACGACGACAAGATGGAGGACTGAGCGGGTGTTTTTTCCGCTCGTGGTGGCAAGCGGCTGCACTCGAGGGTTGCTGGTCAGAAGGGGATTACTAGAGGCTACCTAAACAGCTGATATATGCCAACCTGACAAGACCTTTGTATCTCGACATGAAAAAGAAAAAGAGATTATTGAAGATGACCAGTGTGTGTGTATGTGTGTGGAGTTTAGACTCAAATGCAGACAACGAGCGTTTGGGACAAAGACAGTGCGAGCTCAGGGAACTCGCAACATCAGAGAGCAACTGCCAGTTGGGCCCAGGCAACTGCCATGGAGCCCAACCAGAGTCGGGTCTGGTCATGGCGGGACTCCTGCACGGTTTGCTAGCAATGAACTGTGGAGGGGCTACGGACGCATAGCCTCTCTTGATAGATGGACACAGTCAGTCATCCGTGTTGGTGCAAAGTTAAACCGCGTACATGTTCGGGCATCGGTACTTGTGGCCATATCTATGTTCCACTCTTTTCAACGCTCATGTTGATTGGGTCGACCTTTCGTCCCCTCGCCCTCGACTTTTTTGTTTTTCTATATGGAATATACAAGATGCGCATGCATAAAACATTGTTCATGGCCCCGTCACTCAAGCAGCAGCAGGAGCAACCTCCTCTACGACAGCCTCCTTGGCCACCTGGCTCTGGGCCCGCGACTGGCACCAGTTAATCCACTCGACGAAGAAGGACGGCTGTATCCGCACCTTGCCCTGGAGCCAGGCCGTCTGCGTGTTGGCGTAGACGTGCACAACCCGCTCGTGGTTCGCGCCGGCGCCCACGACGGCTGTCGCCATGGCTAGGCTGGCCGTCGCTGCCGCCTTGGCGAAGGCGTGCGACTGGTCCCTGCCAGCCTCGTCGTGCACTAGCTTCAGCCTGGCCAGGAGCGCGTCGGCATCGACGTCCTCGGCCGCCGCCGCCTTGTCCGACTTAGTCTTCTTCCTGTGCTTAGGGAAGTCGAGCACGATGCCGCATGCCTTGCGCGACAGCGGCTTGTTTGTCGTGGTGCGGATGTGCTGGAGCAGGGGGAGTAGTAGGTCAAACGCGAGGAGGTAGTTGGGCCCAGCCGCCTCAGTTTTGACGTAGGCGGCCAGGAAGTCGAGCACGCGGTGCTTGAAGTTGATGACCGACTCCTTGGCGTCCTTCTTCTCCTTGCGCTTGTTGTTTCCTTTGACTCGGTGCTTGAAGTACTCGGCAAGCTTGTCGTCAAGCGCCACCATTTCTGAATCGGTCATATCGGCGTCGTCGTCTGACGACTCGGCTTCCTTGTCCTGATCCAGGCGATGCGTCCCGAGGATCTTGGCCAGGATCTCATCCGATTCGTCGTTGCCCTTAGTTTCAGTATCCTCGTCGCCCTCGTTGTCATCATCATCATCGTCGTCGCTATCGCCATCAGGAGCTTCAGCGTCGTTTCCGTCTGCCATGCCAATGAACTCAACGTCGGAATCAATCTCAGATAGCCCATCCTCCTCGTCATCCTCCTCTTCGTCACCATCGACATCCATCTCGTCCTCATCGGCGGCGTTGAAGAGAGTTTTCTGGCCGTTGACGTTCTCCTCGACCGAGAGAGTGTCGGTCAGCAGTTCGAGCGCCTTGGGCGTCATCAAGGGGCTAAAGGCCTCAAAGACGAGGAGCGATGCCTGGCGCATCAGGGACGACGGCTGGGCAATCATTGAAAGCAGAATCTCGACGAGGAATTCGGCCATGCCCGAACCGTCACCCGTCTCCTTCTCCTTCTCCTTGAGCTTCTCGTAACACTGTTTGGTGTCGGCAAGGACGTCGAACGCGTCGGGATCTTCGTTGTATAGTTGTAAGATGGCGATGGCGTGCAAAAGTGCCAGACCCTGGCGGGGCATACGCAGTGCAGCGGTGCCTGAGCCCTTCTTCTTCTCCGACTTCTTCACGAGCTTCTGAAGTCGTTCAAGGGCCGCCGCGAGTTCCAACTGTACGTCGTCGCCCATATCCATCGAATCAGGTTCCACGGACAACACGGCGTCGCAGATGTACGTAAAGTCCTCAGGGCGCTTGATCACCTTGGCGAATGAGCTGGTGAGGCGGACCCGGAGCGACGACCTGGTTTGTTCTGTCAGGTCAGAGTAGTCCCTGGAGTATGCCAGTTTGGCAAGCTCGAGGAGGGCAAGACCGCCGACAGAGTCGCCGTCCTTTTCGTCCTTGAGTTTCGGTTCTGTGCTCGCCATAACAAGCCTGGAGACGTAGTCTGCGTATATGCGTAGGCGCCTCTCCGCCTCGTCATCGTCCGCCGTCTTCTTGACAAGTGTCTGCAGAGTCTCCATGACGGCCTGGCCATCCTCTGGCCTTGTAAAACGCAGGATCTTCTCAACTGTCTTGTTGTGTGTCCGCTCATCAAAGTTGTAGGTACCGTTTTCGCCTAGAAGTCTGGGCAATATCCTCGAGAGAAGTTTCGGGTACTGCTCCACCGTCGTCTCGACCGCCTTCAGGGACTTGACCGCGGCGCGGTTGAGGTGCCGCCCCTCAGCTGATGCTTGGTTCATGAGACACCCCATCAAATGTTGACTGAAGATGGCCTCAACCATGGTAGGTGATGAGTGGTACGACTCGAGGACCTTCTGAAATAGCTTGAAGCCTGAGAGTTTCTGGTGGTCAGATGCGTTCTTGGAGAAGAACGACTCTGCATGAGTGTATTATATGTCAGTTAATGTGTATCGAAAACAATCCCAAAGAGGACGAGTTGACTTACGATCGACCACCCTATCCCAGAACACCTTGAACTCCCGTCCACTCTCCTGCTTCTTGAATGAGTCCAGAATAAGGTCCCAGACAAAGTGCAGCTGTGCCGTGGTGTACGATTGCTTGGCAGCCTGACCACCATCTTCGTCCGACAGCTCCTGCGTGCTCCCCTTGAGAACAGCGGCGGCATCCTGTAGAGACTTGGTCCCCAGTGGATCCTGCCACGGCTTGGGGAGCTTGATGTCTGAGAAGGCTCCCTGGGAAACCAGCCAGATGCCCAGGCCCTCAGGCGATTTTGCCAACCCGGCTTCGGTCAGCTCGTCCAGGGTCTTCTCGGCGAGCTTGCGCTTCATCAAGGGTACAGCCTGGGCTATGACGAAGCCACACTGCGGCTGCAGCCACGACTTCTTCTTGGAAAGCTGGAGCAGAAGCTTCAGCACGGCCTTCCATCGAGTCTTGTCGGTAAACAGCACGCCGGCCTGGACGAAGCAGCGCAGACCGAACAGGCGGCCCCACCAGTTGTCGCGCTCCTCCTGGCCAAGCACCTTTCCGACCGTCGTGGTCTTCTCGACGAGCAGGCCGAGGAGCACCTCAAAGGTCAAACCTGGGTAACGGGATGAGGCAAGGTCCTTCTCGCCGAGAAGCTGGCGGATGATTTCGACAAGAACGTAGCTGAAGCCAACGCGAGCGGCATCGCTGCCACTCGAGAGACCCCTGAAGAGGCGGCGCTCAAGGTGGCGGCGGAGGACAGACTCGGGGACGCCGCTCTCCTTGTCCGTTCCCTCCTGGTCCGCACCCTCTCCTTCCTTGACTTTGCTGCTCTTCTTCTTCTTCGTGCTTTTGCTCCCACTGCTGTTACCAAGCAGGCACGAGACAATGACGTCGCTGGCGCGCAGGCGGTCCTCAACATCAGTGCTGCTAAGGAGCTTATACAGCCCTCGTTCCCGCTCATGGTCCTCGGGCTTCATGTCCTCGACGAACGGCCGCCGGTCGGCGAGCAGCTTGGCGGTCAGGGCCTTGGGCAGGCCTGGCCCCGAAGCACCCAGGGAGCTGCCGCCGCCATTGGCATCGGGCTTAGCTCGCTTGCTCGCGGGCTGGGGGCCACCGTTGGGAGGACCCTTGGCGGGGCGTTTCCTTTTTGCGCACATTTTGTGAGAGACTGTTTGTCCTTGCACAGCGCTCGAGTCTTGAAGACCTGTTCTGCAGACCCAATAGCGTGTGCCAGGTTTTTCTGGCGCGTCGATCACAGCTCCTCTCCGCGCGCAGCGACTCAATCGATGTCGCGATTTCCAGAAATTTTCTGCCGTCAAAATCTCCGATAAGATAAGACGACTGGTGGCGGTGGGAAGGGGTTGTCAGATCTGCCGATCCTCCCATACGTAAGCAAGCCATGGACTGGACCGGACGAGAGACATGGCGCATGGGTGCTAGGGAAGGAGCTCCCGCAACGGTTGATCTGGTCGCCCCACACGTTTAATTCGAAGAGTTTCCCCTGAAGTGCGCCCACCATCCGATCTCAATTTTTCTCAGACAATGAAGGAAACGAATTCGAAGCTCGGGCTTTCCATGAGGTCCCTTCACTTCGTTTGCAAACAGAGGACAAAACGTCAGCCACCACAGCCGCGGGTCTGCTTGAGCCTGCCCGTGCATGTGGTTGTCAAATCAATGCGCCGAAGGAGGGTACATCGTTGCGCACCAATAGGACAAGGGCAGATGGACGGCAAAGGAAGGGGAAAAGGGGTATCATTTGAGGGAGGCGTGGCGACCACCAATAGGCGGCCAGGGGCGCCGAGACGGCAAGACGGATGCCGCGCCGTCGCTGTGTGTCCCCGCCAAGTTGCACTACCAGGTACGGTCTTGGCTGTTGCCGCAAGTCGGGGAGGGCGACTCGCTCCTTCCCTGGTCTTGTCGAGTCTGAGCCAGCACTGGCCAGCCGCCAATCCCGTCCTCTCAAAGCGCCCTCAGAGGATCATGGAGCGATTCCCCTCGCTGTCGTGGTCCCCACATATCCCCTCCCCTGAGTTCGTAATTAACCCTTCGGTTAGTTTTTCTCTGCACTCTTTTCTCCGCCCTTTCGAGTTCCATTCTCTCCGCTCCTTTCGCTCGGCCTCTCTTCCTTCATCGACGGGGTTTCCCAGTCAGCCACTCTTTTGCGTGTCTTTCTCTGCCTTTCTGTGCCCTTCGGGCTACCGGCGAGTCCATTGGACGTTGAGCACGCGACGTTACGTCTTGCGTCTTGTGTACGAGGGCCACGAGCTTTCATTGATGTCGTGTGCCTTATCCTGATCTTTTCTTCCCTATCTCTGAAGCCTGGGGCGATCCGTCTTCGCTTCACCGTTGCATCCTCCAGGCCTACCTGCGACTCGTCCAAATACCACGGCACCAGACGGTTTGACATAGCACTGTCGCCAACGTCAAGGCGAACGCACTCATTAGCGGCCGCCACACCCCGACGCACGGCCCGACTCGGCCTCCGCTCGTCGGCGCAAATATTCCGTCATGTTCGTGGCACCGCGGGGCCGCCGGCCTCTGACACTGGTGCTGGGTATCTTCGCATTCTTTGCCCTCGTGCTCTACTCGAGCGGATCGCGTCCCTACTACACTCCGACCACCTTCGGAAGCCGCCCCTTGACCAAGGCACCCCTCCAACCAGCAGTCTCATACGAACATGACCGCCCCTCCAGCGAGCTAGTCCAGTTCTGGACCGAGGTCCTCGACGCCATGCTGCAGCTGAAGCCCAATGCGGCACCCATCAAGAAGATGGAGCTGCCGCCGCTCAAGTTCTTCACTCCTGAGGAGCTCAAGGCCGACGAGCCCTGGACGCGCTACGACGGCCTCGAGCTGTCCAGCCGCGACGTTGAGGGGATCCGCAGCACCCATGCCCAGTTTGTCGCCGTCTCCAAGCAGCTGGCGCCCCGGATGCCCTACCGCAGACACTCGCGCGGCATCGTCATGACGGCGGGAGGCAAGTACATCGGCAACGCCATTCTCTCGCTGCTTATGCTGCGCCGCACTGGCTCGACCCTCCCCGTGCAGCTCTTCCTCGACTCTCCCGACAAGTACGCCACCGAAATGTGCGATACCACCATGGTCGAGCTCGACGTTGAGTGCCGCAGCATGGATGCCGTTTTCAAGACGACCCCGCAGCTGCCCAAGCTCAAGAAGTTTCAGTACAAGGTCTTCTCCATCCTCTTCTCGTCCTTTGAGGACGTTCTGTTTCTTGATGCCGATGCCTTTCCCATCCATAACCCAGACCACCTGTTCGACGTCGAGCCATTCAGGAGTAGGGGCATGGTTACCTGGCCCGACTTCTGGGTTTCGACGTCCTCCAGGCACTTTTATGACATTGCCGGCATCCCTGTCCCCCCGATCGAGACGCGCCGTTCGTCCGAGTCGGGCGTCATGCTGTATAGTCGTCGCACGCATGCCGAAAGCTTGCTCCTCTCGACGTACTACAACTTTTACGGACCCGACTACTACTACAAGCTCCTGTGTCAGGGTGCTCATGGCGAGGGCGACAAGGAGACATTCATGCATGCAGCCCTGGCACTGAACAAGCCCTTCTATGACGTCAAGACCAATATGCAGTTTGGTGGCCGTTGGATCAATGGCTCCTATGAGACGTCGGCCATGATGCAGGCAGACCCGATGGAGGACTATAGCCTCAACGCCCGCCTCACAGGCATGGCCAAGAACGCCACCTTTCTGGGAATAACCGATGCACGCTACTTTTTCATCCACCAAAACGTCATCAAGCTCAACATGAACAAGCTTAGGGAGTCGATGGAGCCGGCCTGGAGGAAAGACGAGAAAGGCTATCCCCAGCGCCTTTGGGGCGATCAGTCGCGTCTCGCCGAGACTGCCGGGTTTGATGTCGAGAAGGCCATGTGGGAAGAGATTATCCAGGTCAACTGCCATCATTCATTCCTTGCCGAGTGCAATCAACTGAGGCGGTGGTACAAGCTTGTCTTCCCGGATCCCAATGCTAAGAAGAAGGGGGATCAGGGAGACAAGAAGGATGAGAAGGCGGGAAAGAAGGAAGAGGTCAAGGCAGATGAGAAGAAGGAGGAGAACAAGGTTGAAGGAAAGACGGAGAGGAGGCGAAGGAGGAGTTCGGCCCGCTAACGACCATGAACACTGCCAACCTCTCTTCTCTTTTGGGCATTCGAATTATGCGATGGGCTTTTTGGGGTGCGCGGTCAAGGAGGAGGTTTTCAGGGACGCGGCCTCGTCTTGAGTCTTTTGGTCCAGACCTCACCACGCCCGGTCGACTGTGGAATACACCCAAGCGCTTTTAAAAGGGTCTGGACGGACCGGGATTGGGAGGAAACAGGACGTCGCAAAGAAGCGGTTCTGCGAGAAATAATGAGTTATAGGGACACGATACCCAGGCATTGCTGTCACGACGTGACGGCGATAAACAAGCATACAAGACTGCTGCTACTAGCAAGCAGCATTTTCTATTTAGGAATTCAAGTGTAAAATATCCGTACCCCGTTTGCGGCCAAGATTCATGGTGCCACCAGTTCAAGACCTGCCACGCACATGCAGCCTCCTCTGATGCAAGTGGTGCTCTCGTGTAGCTTTCCAATGTCCACCAAGTCGAAGCAGTAGTTACTCCCAGCCCTTACCCAGAAGGACGTCTCCTCTGTGGGATGCTTGGTGCTGTTCGGTGGAACCCCTGGTCAGACAGATCAAGAGACATGCGGGCCGTGGCAAACTCCAGATGTGTGGCGTCCGTCTCAGGGCAGAAAATAGTCATCTCGGCCCCGAGTGTAGCAGGTTGACCGGCCATTTGCGAATCAAGGTACAATGAAATCCGCTCCAGTGACAGATGGTAGGAGAAGCTGGGCCAGGACAGCCAGTGACCCAAGCCACAGTCAAATCCGGGATACGAGGACTTGGGGGTGGACGGCGGGGAAGATATCAGTCGGCCGGGAGGGCCGCTAGTGTGACCTGATCGATACACCACATGTCTCACGGGCCGCCAAGGATCGAGAGAAGCACAAGATGGTGGTTGGTGGACATCTAGGCGAGTGTGAAGACACAAGTACGTGCAAGAGGAATAACAGGCGTTTGGATGTTTGCAGATTCTCGAGCAGGTGCCCAGCAGCCCAGTCAAGCCCGCTGAACGGACGGTCACTCCTCAGCAGGAAAATGCTAGGGTGCATGGAAATTAATAATGATTGCCCGTTCCCAGTCTCCCTGCTGCCATCTTATAGCCATGCGTGCCATGGTGAATGTTGCAAAAAGGCAGCTTAGTTGTCTGGGTGCATCATAGTGGGCTGCAGGATGTGATCTATTTGGGCAAATGTCATAGATACGGAAAGATGCACCATAGTGTGCCGATTCCCAGGGGGTAGAGACTGCAGGGAGGATCGAGAGGAGAAGAGTGGGCGAGGAGCGAGAATGGAGAGTGGGAGCACTGCTGTGGCAGCTGCCCCTTGATGGCCTTTCATGTCAGTCCATCCAAGAGACCTGCGAGGCCCAGACCGCATCCGATTTAGCAGATTAGATGTAAAAGCCCTGTGACGACAAAGCTGGAGGAATGCGGAGATTGCTATTGCAATCTTGTACTTGCTGCCTTCTTCTTTTCCTTCTCGTGCCCGTTTGACGCCGCCATCAGAAGGCGCTCACCCGGCGCTCACTCTCGATGCAGATTGGACCACTTACGAGCTCGTCTTGCTTTTCTTTTATTCTTCAGCTTGCAACCCTCTTCTTCTCGGAGTATTCCATTAGGTCTCATCTGCTTTAGTCACAGCGCGAGATAGTTCTGGGTGGGAATTTGTGGCTGCGAGCGCGTGGCAAGGAGGGAGACGCTAGCCTTTGCCGAAAAGGGGTCTGAATAAGAGCCGAATAAGAGCCTCAATAACGACATGCCATCCACTCCGCCCACTTTCGCATGCTTCCGGAACGCACTTTCCCCGAACCCTCTCGTCACATCACTGATCCTCTCCCTTGCCTATACGCTAGCAGTCTCGTCGAAAGATTGAGTCCACCACCAATATGGCGCATATGGCTGCAGATGTCGAAAGACGTACTAAAGGAGCACAGCATATCCCACCTCTCCCTCCGCGCCTCCCATGGCAGTTACACACGAGGCCAATGCTCGCCTCCCCCTCCCACCTTCTCGTGTGATATCCCCCTCCTCGGCACATGTCTTATCGGCTCGGATCCGGCATCGACGAGGACAGGCCGTGCGCCGGACTTCGTCGGGCTTTGTCCCCCTATTGAGGTTCAAAGAATGCACGTCACGGCCATCGTCGAGGCTCGAGGCGAGCCATCCCGAACTCGGGTCTGAATAGCACCTCGCTTTCCTTGTTCTCGCGAGCCACGAGGCTGTTCCCAAGCTCCGATTCCAGGTCACGCCGTCCGAGTCCTACATCTTTTTCTTTCTTCTCCCATAAGAGCCCAGGCTTTCTCGTTTGTTCGAGGAGTGGAGCCCCCCGTCCTATTCAGAGTCGGCGCCGACCTGCCCCTGAATAGCAAAAGGCGCATATTGCCATCTTTTGAAGCGGAGCTCCTGGGGAAGCCCCCATTGAGTCTCTTTCTCTATAAGATGCCATGCCGATCCCCCCATGCGCACACACCTGTCCCTCGTCTTCCCGCCACCCCATCTGAGGCATACACAGACAAGTAAAACAACATCCTCTCAACAAGCATCCCGACTCTCCACGAGTTCCACCTACCCCAGACGGTCCCTTGCCAGACCGGAATAGCCAAGAACACTATCAGTCATACCCACTCTACTTATACCACCACTACAAAGCACAAGTGCAACAACAACAACCAAAAACAAGCAAGACCTATGAAGATCACCATCACCATCACCGCCCTCCTGGGCGCCATGGGCGTCAGCGCCGCGGCCGTCGCCGCGGCTGACCACCAGGAGATGAAGCGCTTCTGCGGCGCCGAGGGCCAGGGCTGCTGGCAGGTCAAGCGGGCGGCGGCGGACCTCGCCGCCGTCCTCACGGCCCGCGACACCTCGGCCCTCGACACCTCCGACATCGTCGCCCGCCACATCTCGCACCAGCCGGGCGGCGCCGCCTACATGGCCAAGCGGGCCGTCGAGGCGCTCGCGGTGCGCGTGGCGTCGACGCAGGACGACCCCGAGGCCTTCTTCAACGCGCTCGAGCTCGACGACGCCTTCTTCCCGGACTCGCCCGCCCACCCGGACGACGACGCCGACGACGCCGGCACCGACGAGCTCACCAAGCGCCAGAACGGCTGCCGGTACCGCGGCCAGAGCTGCTGGAAGCGCGACGAGTCCTCGGGCCAGCTCGTCCAGGTCCGCGACGGCCTGGCCGCCCACGAGGTCGCCGAGCTCGCCCGCCGCGCCGACATGGCCAAGCGCCAGAACGGCTGCCAGTACCGCGGCCAGAGCTGCTGGAAGCGCGACGAGTCGTCGGGCCAGCCCGTCGAGGTCCGCGACGTCCACCCCTTCCCCGAGGACCTGGTCGTCAAGCGCCAGAACGGGTGCACGTACCGCGGCCAGCCCTGCTGGAAGAAGACCAAGCGCGACCTGACGACAACCGAGATCGACCTCGAGAAGCGCCAGAATGGCTGCCGCCACCGCGGCCAGTCCTGCTGGAAGCGCGACACGGACGTGCTCGAGGCCCGCCAGAACGGCTGCCGGTTCCGCGGCCAGTCGTGCTGGAAGCGCGACGTCCTGGTACAGGACCACGCCAGCGACAAGCGCTGGTGCCACGAGGCCGGTAACGCCTGCGCCGTGGCCAAGCGCGCTGCCTCGGCCGTCCTCGAGGCGGCGGCTGCTGACCTCGAGAAGCGCCAGAACGGCTGCCGCAACCGCGGCCAGAGCTGCTGGAAGCGCGACGAGGCCGGCCTGCTCGAGGTCCGGCAGAACGGCTGCCAGTACCGCGGCCAGAGCTGCTGGAAGCGCGACCTCGAGTCCGGCAAGGAGGTGCTGGCCCGCGACGTCAGCATCGCCGCCCGCTGCAACGGCCCCGCCGGCGAGTGCACAAAGGCCGCTCGCGACCTCGAGGCCGTCGAGATCGCTGCCCGGGAGGTCCTCGCCTCGCTCGAGTAGTTTCCTTCCCTTCTCTGTTTCCCTTTTCTTTTTCTTTCACGCTCGCGTGCCCTCTTTTTGGTATATCCCAGGAGCTGGCTCCGTCCACCGGCAACGACTGACAACGGAGCCTGGCGCCATATTTCCTAATTGTATTTCCTAATCCCTAAAACATGCTCGGCAACACTGCCAGGTTTTATTTTTTGCTATCTCGCGACCTATTTATCTTTGTTCATCTCGACCAAAACCAACACCAAAATTCGAACAGACTCTACGGCTTCGTCACAAAAACTCCTTTATTTCATCTTTGGAGGGATGCTCCCTGATCCTGGAGCAGGAAGACATCCCACCAAACCCATCCTTCATATTTCGTGGCGGTTTTGCTCTCACCAGATTGAGGCAGCCAGCTATTTCTGCTGTCGCATGACAAACTCTGCGATACTGACGAGCCGGAAAGGGGCATGTTTCGGGGGGCCATGAGGCGGGCGGGCTGGCAGCTTAATAGTACATACTGTAAGCTGTTGCTGGGACCATGCTGTACGCTGTTGCTTGTGTACTTTGCGAATCCTCGACTTCAAATTCAAACCCGTTCATGGCTCATATTTTCAAGTTCAGCTTCATTGTTCATTCGTGACACCACTGTTGGCATCTGATTTATTAAACGTGTCTCCTATTCAGTCGCTATGGGATAGCGGTATGCGTAAAGGACAAACACATCGCTATGCAACAGGCATCAACTCCCAAGAAGCATACAAGGCCTCCTCACATGAGCAGACGCCAGAGACCGAGCATGAGAGCCGCAAAACCAGTGCACAGGCCCATGAGCCACTGCAGGGTCTGGAACTTGACCTGCTCGAGCTGCTGGCGCAGCGCGGCCGCCTCCTGCTCAATCTTGGTCTCCGTCTCCTTGATGCGCAGCTCCTGCGACACGGCCTCCTCGCGGATCCGGCCCTTCTCGAGGTTCAGGTCCAGGCGCACGCTGGCCTGGGTGCGGCCGATCTCGTCGCGCAGGCGCGAGTTGAGCTTTGCGATGTCGTTTGTCAGCCGCTCGTGCGCGGCCCGCGTCGTGTTGGACTCGGTCGAGTCGGCCGCCAGCAGCTCGCTGCGCAGCTTGGCAAAGTCCACCTTTTGCGTGTACGTCGCCTTGGCCGCGTCCTCGCGCGGCACCATGGTCCGCGTCAGGTTCTGGATGCTTTTGTGTGGCGAGGGAGGAGGGGGGGTCAGCGGTGGGAGAGCAGAATGACGGGGGAAGGGCGAGTATTGCACCCCCTAGAAGTGCATGCGTACCTCTCCTCGATAACGTCGTTGAGCACCTTCATCATGGCGACCGACTGTTCCTCGGTGAACCCCTCGCTCTGGAGGCGCTGCACGAACTTGAGCGTGTCAAAGTGGTGGTCCCGGCGCACCGGCGCCGAGGCGTGGAATCTCCTCCTGCCCAGCGCCGTGCTCTGTTGCTGCTGCCGGAGCGTGGCGCCCGTCCTTGTCGACCTGGGCCGCGCGCGGCTCGGGCTCGGTCCGCCGCTCGCAGTTGAGTAGAAGGGCCTGCCGGGGCCCGCCCACGGCCGCTGCTGCTGCTTCTCGGGCACGCGGCCGCCCGGGAGGGGCATCCCGAGGGATCGCCGGCACATGACCGCGCCGCTCCCCGCCGCCGCCGCCGCCGGGGCCTGCCAGCTGAGGCGGGGGAGGAGGAACCTCGGGAGTGTTTGGAGCGCGCTCATGGTCGCTTTGGTCTGCTGATGGCTGGATACCCAAGGCATGTGAGGCCGGCAGCGGGCGTTATGGCGGCAATTTGTCCCTCAATCTCGGCCATGGCATCGCGCCCCGGGCGGGACTCTGAGAGGTGACGTCTGTCGTGTGGAGCAGCGAACAACGCACGTGCGTCTGCGTCCTCCAATTGAGCTGCTTGCTTGGGAGGTCTGTGGGGGGGTGCTGCAAATTTGTTCTGGCCTCAGGCAAACAGACTCCATTCCACTGGAGCACAAAACTCGGTCGAAATTTTTCGCTTTTGGGATTTTTCTTTTCCTTCCTTTCTACCATATTGAACAACGCATTTATTCACATTCTCGAAAATCACAAATCCGATCCGGAGGCGCGCGGATCTTCCGCAGTCGCCCAGGACGTCATCGACAATTTTCGAACAGAATGGAGAGGAGACACCAGCGCACAATCTTGGGTGCGGCGCTTTCCTTGTCCCCTCCGGGGGGCCAAGGTGGGAAGGGTCGCAATGATTGAACGTACAGATGCCGTGCATGCATGTAATCAGTAGTGCTGGCCGGAACGAGGTGGATGACAGACATGACATGACATGCTTTTTTTGCTGCGAGTGCCTTGGTATTTCCTGCCTTGATGACAGACGTCAGGCGCAGCAGCAGGCTGCATCTTCTGCTTGCTTGCTTTTCCGTCAGGTGCTCGTCAGGTGGTTCTCGGACGACACCCGGGAAGGAGATGAAGGAGGCTTTGGTTGTCCTTCACCGCATCAACGGCAGTTCCAGATCGATGGCACGCCCAGGCCGGGTCTGGGCTCGGGATCCCGAGATTGCTCAGGAGCTTCGACGTGACTGACTCCTGCCGCGGCCACGTCGCTCGCTCCCTTGATCATTGATGCCCTGATCCCTGCCGAGGTTGCTTCGAGGCTATCTGGTGTCCGGCCTTGGAGCTGGCTCTTAAGATCCCTGTCTTGCACGCCCCGGCGGCTCACTCCCTCCCATGACAATCCCATGACAACCATGGGAAGCCTCGAGGGCGAGAACGCCCGTTCGGCCTATAACCTTTTTGACACTCGTGGTCGTTCCTGATGTGCCTGTGGCAGCTAGATGACATCAAGTCGGGTTCCGAAAGGCCTGACCCAGAGATTCTAGAACGAGCATAAAATTTTACGCCCAACGGGCATTCCCGTGCACTTTATTGAACATGGAAAGTGGCACAGACAGGGGAGAGCCACCGAGATCGTCCAGATTCTCAGATATTTCCTTTTCTTTTTGTCCTTTCTTTTCGCTGTCCTACTTCCGTTTCGGTCTCGATCAGCGCTTCCATAGCCTCATGGAGAAACCGCCTCAGACATCTCTATCCAGGCGCGCCCCCATGCGGTCGTATAGCTGCCCTGGTTGAGCAGCCCCGGGTGCCCAGAGTCAGGAACCAACTCGCGAACGGGCGGCCGTGCTCTCTCTCTCTCTCTCTCACCGAAGAGGGAAGCATGGACAGTCGAACCACCCGGGCGTCTCCCCTCCCTGCCATTTTCATAAGACAGACCCGGGATCCATTGCTCCGAATCAGCATCGATGAGGGGAGAAGGATCGATCCATTGAAGGGATAAGCCTGGCGCGTTTGGCGTACAGTGCCGGCCGTTCTCTTGCGCATACGAGGGCGGGCGGCAAGACAGCCGCAAATGGCCACAACCTGCCTGAGGTCAGCAGCCAACGACGGCGCAGCACTGCTACCTCCACCCGCCTGGTCGGCCTTGGCTTTTGAAACCCAAACCCGCCGCCGAGATGGCAAAAAAAGGACGGGCCATGGCATGGAGGCCCGTGGGCGGCTCTATTCCCCAGTCGTCCCGCCCAGCTGCTCAATTGCCCAATGGCAGGGCCGGGGCTAGCAATGGGAAGGGAAAAGAGCTCCTGTTCGCCCGGGAATACGGTGGCGCGGTGGATGGGGACAGGCGGCTTGGGTTGCCGTCGTAGAGTTCCATCGACATCGCCCATTGTAGCCCGACGACCCGAAAGGCACACAGTGGGTGTTTCACAAACGCCAATCCCTCCCCCCCCTCACGCCCAGCACCCATCACCCATGGGCAGCTGAAATCCTTCCGATGGATGGACGCGATTTGACGGGCCGCGGAAAGTCGAGAACCTGGCACCCCTGGCTTGGATGAGTGGTGGCCCACCTCCACAATCCTGAAATCAGGTGACCGCGCGACTGTGGGGGCCGCCCGGGGCGGGGTAGACGGTCCTCAATTGTTTACAATCGCGTCTCAAAGCTGGGACGTCATTTGTTTACATTGCCTAGTGTGAAGCACACAAAAAATTTCGGTATCCGGGGAGGACAAGGAGCGAAAACGCCCCGGAACCACACTTTGGGTCCTTTTGCCGGCCGCATTTGGTGGGCCGTCATATCTACCGAGAGACGGGCTCAGAAGCACGAAATCCGGGTCGTTGCGACTCTTTGAGACGAAACTTGATTGAATGCATTTTGCCTCCCTTTTTCGCCGGCTTCGTTCAAGGTCTGGTCCAAGGGGACGACGTAGGAGTTATGCAGGTTGCCATAAGCCAAGGCGGCCTTGTCTGCCTGCTGCTGCGGGCACTCTGGGGGTGGAAGGACTAGGGTCGGTAGGCGACTCCACCGGCGTGCCGCCCGCGCTGCTGCTGCTGCTGCTGCTGCTGCCGCATGCTCTCAAACCGAGACTGCCCTCAATTATGCGCATCCTTTGATCACGCGCAGCTCACTCGCAGCCCGGGGACCTGGGCTGGGAAGAGCGGGGCCCAATGGTTCTATTTTTTCACCATCGAGGTGGCGGAACATGGCTTAGCTAGCTCAACCCTCTGTCCATGGCACGGCCGTACGTGCGGAACTGCCGAGGCAAGAAAACGCAAGTAGCAGCAGCGGCAGCATCAGCAGCCGGGAGGACGAGTCGCCCGGCTCGACGCACGCTCTTCTTGCCTGTCCCCTTGCGCTGATAGGCTCGCAGGCTATGCAGCAGGCTATGCAGCAGGCTAGGTCTGAATCCGGCAAAAATACGCAAGCTCCATGTCGCCATGTCAGCCCAGATGGGTCCCAGAGTTCAAGAATCCGAAAGATGGTGAGGGGAGGGATGGGGAAAAGTGGCTGAGACCCGACGGACTGATGCGGTTGGCTCACAAGCGTATAATCCGTTGGTTTCGCCGGTCACTGAGCTTTTCGTTCACTGGCGCCCTTTGTGCCTGGAGCTGCCCACCGGTTCGTTTCTCCACGGAGCGAGGGAGGAGGGGTAATGGATGGAGGGTGGGAGAGCAAAAAGAGATGGCGTGTCTGTAGGATAAAGATAGCACTGGGCTGACACCCGTTTTCTTAGAGTGAGGGGCTGCTGCTAAACTAGCACGCCAACCGATACAGACGCCCACCGGTTCCCAATCCAAAGAGGGGAGCTTGGGTGTTCGCAATCAATCCGAGCTGAGCTTTAGTCGGTTACCAAGTCGCGCGCGCGGCCGGATCGAGCTCACGATAAAAAAGAAACACGGACTACGGGCTGTCATTGGCCGACGGACCCTTGGAAGCGTCGGGCGGCGCAGCCATCTGACATTACCATTACCACCCCTCATTGTGAGCCGTGAGCGGCTTTTTTATTTCCCCTCACTTGGCTCTGGGCTGCGTTGCTCCAGCTCCCGCCCGCTCTCTGGCCCTGAAGAGAGGAAAAAAGGCTGTCCCGTCTCAAGCCGCAGCACTCGTCATGCGATGCCGGAGGGTCCGGGCGTGGTTGGTAATGCTTTCTTTCTCCTCTCCTCAAGCCTCCATCTCGGCCATTTTTGTCTGCCTTGCGACGTTTCCTTGGTGCCGCGGCGCGGGAGCCTGCATGAGCATCGAGGCGGTGTAGGGTTTTTTCTGAATCATCGAGAGTGTGTGACTGCAGAAGCTGAAGCGGACGCCGAGAGGGGAAAAAAAAAAGCGCTTGCATCGCAAGTGGTGCGGGAGAGTTGTATGCCGAAACAGGGAAAAAGTAAACAATGGGCACACTTTTTTTTTTTCTTGGTTGCTTCTTGCATCGCGACACGCGTTGTTTTCTTCCTCGTCTCCAACCAACCACAAAGGCCCGTCTCCGTGGTTCCATTGTGGTTCCCATCCCTCACCCCCCTCCTCACCGGGTGTTTGCCCCTCCATGCGACCCCCATGACAATGACACAACCGATCGCGTCGCAGATGGTCGAGGGGTCTGGCCGGTTTCTAGAGGGAGGAGTGGGAGTGTGGTGGTGAGGGGCCAAGGGTGGCTTTTTTTTTGCTGCCCCTCCTCGGCCTGCCTTAGCCTTGGTTTTTTGGGGCCGCATGCAGGTGCTTCAATGCGACTGCATGGAGACCCTCGTGCAGGAAACAGTAAAACAGCCGGCCAGGCCACACAAACCGGAGGGAGGGGCACCAGGCCACAAGGCAGCACGGGTGAACGGGTAGACGGGGTGGAGCCTTTTTTTTTTTTCTCTCGCTCTTTGTTTCCTTGTCTCGCCGCACCGGCGTGGGGACGGAGGGCGCGGCGGAGCGAAGCACGACGCGACGGGGAACCTGGGAAGCTGGTTGGCTGGCTCTAGGATGACGTCGGCCGATTCGAACACGATCTTGAAACCCTATGGGGGATCGGTGCCGGGGGTGAGTTTCTGGGAGAGAAGAGGCGCTTGTTGTCACTGTTTGGGGCTTTTGTTTTGTTATCGGTCGTGCCATTTTCCAAGGCAGCAAAGGCCACACAAAAGTTCGCCGCCGGCCTAGCGGCAGATCAACTTTATGCGATGGCTGCACGCTGTGGCATGGCGGCCACAAAAGCCGACCAAAAACAAAGCGGTCGAGAAGCGTGCGCGCACAGCTGATTGCACGACGTCGTGATTGCCTGACATGGACCGCCATTGGAGGGTGCCGAGGGAGCATCGAGATAGGCTGGGCTGTCAACGCGGACCGAGACAGGAAACAAAAACAAAATGGCCAACTATTACCCAGCCTCTGATAATCAACTGACAGATTTGACAACAAGCCACCCCCTTTGTCCGTTAATTATTGGAAGCGTATATCAGATTTACCCGACTCGCTGGTTGAGGACGGCGCGGCAACTCATCGATCGATCCCATTCGCCACAGCCAGTTAACTGCCCGGGGGGCGCGCGCCAAATCAAGGCCGTCATTGACATCATTCGCCCAGGGAACCGGTGTATCTCGCGCCCGGCCTTGTTTGAGACAGGTTCAGGGCCCGTCCGTTTGTTCCATGCCGGCTGGCCGCCCTTTCCCATGCCCAGGAAGGCGGTCGCGCGGAGATTGAGCCCATGGGGCAAAGCCTGGGCAAACACTAATACCGGTATCGCGAGAGTACATATCGCGAATGCAGAAAAAGGGGATAAAAAAGATTAATGGCATCCGTGTGCGAATTGGCGTGGCCCATCTTTTTAATATTCCAGTTGTAACGAAGAGCCGAAGCTGGGCGGCGCACTGTCCAGCCGCTGTCCAGAGCAGCGTCCAAACGCGCCTTATTAGCTGGCTCCGCACGCTGCATCGTCGCCTACACCGCGCTGCACATTTCAATTGCCCTGGCGCGCATTATTACCGTTGGATACAGTGCCGCGGTGTGGACGCACAGGGCGGGGGGCCCTGCTAGCATTTTCAACCCGCGAGCACCAGACCGTTTATTCTTTTTTTTTTCTTTTTTTGCTGCGCGCCACAACCAAGGGTGCCTTGGCCCTTGGCTTGCCGGGGGTCCGTCTTCCCTTGGGCTGCACACCAAACACGCGCCCACAGAAACGGGCCCAAGGAAGGAAAGGCAAAAAAGAAGTCCATCATTTCGTGGTGTTCCCTGCACAGGCCGAAAAACTAGACCTCCTGGTTGGGGAATTTGTGCCGGCTCCTGGGTTGGGCCCGCGTGGTCGGCCGACTTCTTCTCCAGACCAGGGCCGCCGGCCTAAAGCTCGGCCGCCAACGTTTAGCGAAACATGTGAGGAAACATTTCACTGCTGTGCCCGTGCAAGATGGCACCGGATCGTTGCTGGAAAAGAAAAAAAGGACGGCGCGGCTTTGTCAAACCTGTCAGCCACGTTTGACAGCCCATTTCCCGTCCCAACAAGAAGCACAGGCTCGTAAAGCTCGAACGGGTCCAAGCTGTGAGCCATGCAAGCACACACCTCACGCACATACAAGCACATGTTTCCTATACTATAACCCGCGCTATACCTCTAGTCGGGAAAAGCAAAGTAAAAAAAAAAAATCAATATATTGTAAAATAAACTCGCACACACAATTCAAAACGTCTCTCCCTTACATCTCTGGTTGCTGCGGATCACGGCCAGCGCAGCGTGCCTTTCGCCCTTCGCTTATGAAAGGAACTGGAGTCGAGCTTTGCCGGTTTGAGGCATCAAATCACACCTTCGGCCCGCGGGCACGGACGGCGACATGCCATCGGGCCTTTGATCGGGGACTTTTTTCTCTCTTTCGGTGGGCTCCGGCCATGGGTGCGTGGTAGGCGGGTTGAGCAAGGGAGACGACATGAGCGGATGGGGCTAGACGAGAGAGAGAAAGAGGCGGCACAGAGAACAAAAAATGGAGGAAACAAAAAAGAAGCGACAACCCGATTTCGCATCTCCATTCGCTTGTGATTGGTGCGAGGTCTGGGGTAAGGGACCCCAAAGTGCGAGAGTGAGAGCTACCCCTTGCTCATGGATGCATTTGCCATCGACACGCGAAACAGGGTCCCGGCCCATCTTCATATCCGCCTTTTTTTTTTCGGTCCCTTTATCCCACCTTTGGGTTCTCGCCTCCACGGAAACGGGATGCCTCATGCACGCTTTGGCCCCTCTACCACATGTCCATCCCACAGACGGGGAGGAGCCGGTTTCTCGCGTGTTTTTTCGGAAGGAGAAAAAATAAAGGAGGACGAGGCCATAACGCAACGGGCAACCGGACACAGAGAATGCCATTCTGGAATGCTATGCTCATTTGTTCTTTTTGCCCGTGATTGCAGGGCACGCTCCCCTGAGCTGGAACTGGTCTGTGTAAAGCCTGTACTGTTTTATTTTATTCTTCCATGTTTTATTCCTCTATTATACCATCCCCTTCTTCGGTCGCCGCTTGGGGAACATTTTCCCCACCGAGCCCCAAATCTAACACCGCTCGCTCGGCCGGTTACCGTGACAAAAAAGGACGACGATCCACGCCTGCACCCCTTTCACATTGGATCTCCATTTTCGAAGGAAGAAGAAAAGCACCGACCAAAGAGGCGGTAAAAGAAAAAAGTTTGATTTGATAGTCGGGAACCGCCGGGCTAGGAATTTGGCACAATTTCTGCTTGTCCGACAGTGTCTGGGTTATGGTGTTTCTTTTTCCGGACGTCTGTTCGCGGGCTGCGGCATGGTATGCACTCAGCATACGCAACCTCGCCCCGACACGTGGTTTCGCGAACAGTTGTCTCTATTCTCTTCGCGCCCAATGTCACGCTCCTTTATTTTCAATGTGTGAAGAAACGAGAGTGGTGATCTTCCTGTTACGCGCCAGCAACCTCTCTTTCATTCTGGAGCGGCAAATCGATGTGCCCGTCCTCCAGGTTCTCGTTGGTCGAGTCGTCGCCCTGCATCATTTCACATCGCCGCGGTTACGGCACGACGCAACCACCGCTGTAACCCCAACGACGAACGGATTCGCATGGCCCGTCCCTGGCCCGTCCTCTGTGCTGAAAGGCACGAGGGGCCCCCTGCCTGCCAACGCACACATTTTGCAATTTGATGTGCCGCAGCGCGGCTGGCCCAGCTCCCGTTTGGGGAAAGCGTAACTGCCTATTTGGACTTTGGACCCAGCCAAGAGGGAGCGCCTAGGTGAGAATTGCGTGCTAGACTTTTTTTTTATTATCTCTTTTGTCCTCTGTTACCACGGACGCCAGGCCCGCCCTACAGGCTACCTACGCTACCCATCAAGCAAGATTTCCCGCGCGCTGCTAGGCTGACCCCCTTGCTTAATCGCCCGCCCTGTCTCAGCCGCCAGGGTGGGATGGTGGGCTCGGCCAGGGATTGGAAGCTACCCCTGCCATGTCGGCCGGCCAGTCAAACTGGATCGCCGTTCTTGTCGGTTCTCGTGAGTGGGCTGAGGAACGACTCTGGTCCTCTGCCTCCTCCCCTCCATCGTTACCCCTACCTCATCATCCCTGTCCCGGCTGCTCTTTGCGGTTGAGCTTTTTTTTTTTTTCTCTTTTTTTTCTTCCCTTCCACCCTTCCTGTCAAGGACCCATGCAGCTCGTCATGGGAGATGGAGGAGACCACCAATGAACCGGCCAACCAGAGAAGAGCGGATTACCTTTTTTGTTTCCTTCTCGGCCGGTCGACGGCCAAGCCTGACACGGTGGGCGCCAGGCCTGTGGATTGGGTGCTAGATGACGACAATGGCCGTTTGCGGACATCTGAGGTCGTCCTGAGACTGCTGGGCTCGAATGACCAGATCGGGAAGGAGGCTCGGCCAAATCTACTTTGCTGGTCGGGGCAGTCCGCCGTCTGAGGTGAGGCCGTTTGCAGCAACTTTGAAAGGCACATGGCACATACGAACAGCCAAGGGAGGGGGTTGTTCGTTTTTCCAGGTGAGCAGCAGCTCTCACCGTTCCCATCCGTCATCCCATGGATATGGTATGGGCGGGCTGGATGTCATTTGATAATTCGATAGCGACCATGACTACTGTACGGCTGCTGCGGGATCCATGGGGGACCCAACATGTCATCCGCCTGATGCGATGCAGCCCGCTGGAGCTTTGCAGGCTGCTTCATGACGGTGGAGTCTTTTTTTTTTTTTTTTTTTTTTTTGCAGGCAGATAAAATCCAAGTGACGCTTGCGGGCGGGACGCTCGGTGGTGCAACGGAAGCTCTCTTGTCCAGCTTCGCTGCGCTAGTGCGGCAGGTAGGGCCTTGTCCCTGGACGTGCAGAAGATGCATGCAGCTGCGCGGTCCCGTCGACTCTTGTGCTGCACGGATTTGCGGCATTGTCGGGGGAACGAGGCATGCACGCGCCGGGCGCGTTTTGCATGGTGGTATTGTGAACTTGAGTTATCCCAGACCAACGAGAGATGGAGGGCAGAGTCGGTGGAGTAAATCAGACTCATCAGCCATGTCTCTCAACCGCCGATCGAGCCTAAGCTGCCTCTGGGCGCCTGTCTCTGCTTCCCAAATTATCCTCCCTCAAATGTCTCAGCTGCGACTGGCAAACGAACCGAGCTAGCAACCGCCGGACGGGCGCCATCGAAAGCCATAATGCCTTGGCCTACCCGCCGACACACACCCGGCCCCTCCCCTCCATTTCGGGTGCCCGAGCCTGTGCTGAGCGCGTTGCTCCGTGAAAGCCGTCCAGAAGAGGCCGGATGTCGACATTATGGACTCAGCGGGTGCTGAGGGAGTCTGGCAACTCTGACAAGCAGACTCTGGCCAGGCTGACGGCCCTGAATGATTACGTCTTTGCGCATCAACGGCGTCGAAGTGCCTTCCGTAAACGTAGATGTAGGCCCGTCGTCGAAGAATGCAACTCGATTACGCCAGCCGGCGCCGTGCCCACGCACAAAAATCAGGGCGGCCGTCGGCCGGGCGCCTTGATTTGTTCGTGCCGGAAGGATGGGCATAATGTAAATGCGCGCCTTGGCCAGCCGGGACCAGACAGTGCACAAGAACAGGAAACGAAAAAAAAAAAATTACGATCAATCCAAGCAGAGCCCACACACCCGCTGTGGCCCGTTTCCAGCGCTTACTGGTGGGTCCTGGCAGCAGGCAGAGCAGGCCCCCCAGAAGATGAGAAAAGCAGGGAGCAGAACGGACAGGGAGCAGGGCGGCAGGGAGCCGGGCTTGACGAGGCAACCTGGCTCTAGCTGATGGCACTGGCCCTTGGGATTGGAAGTCGTCGCTTGGAGCGTCAACTGTGTACCAGGCGGCGTGCACTGTGGGCTGTGGTGTGTGGGCGGGCGGGAAGGGGAGGGAGGGGGGTCCAATTGAATCAAGCACACGCGAAGCTGGCCGCCGGCACGAACCAGGCCACGACCGAGCAACCGCTATCTCCCCTGACAACCTCTGGGCACCTGCTTCTGGGGACAGGCCCGGAGCTCAACTCGCCATTTTGCGAGCTCCACTGGCCGCACCACGCTGTGAATGCCTTGCTACTACTTCTTGACGGCGGTCCCCTCCATTCGCCAATTCGCTTGCCTCTCCTTCCCCCCTCAGCCCTTTCGTCGGACGGGACGAGGTTCGGAAGTACAGCCCCTAGCTCGCCACTGCTCTGCCCTTCGCCGCCAGACAAACGTCCATCGTCGACCAGAACAAGAAGAAAGCCTGCCAACGCTTTCTTCCTGCTTCGTTCGACCTTGCAGCGTGCGCATAAGCAACAGGACCACCCCCCCCCGGCCCCAGGCTCCTCCGACGAAACGAAGACCCCCCGGGAAACCCCCAGAGGATCTTCCTTTCTCTGCCCGTCCACCCCGTGCCGCGATTCGGATTTGCAGCAGGTGCAGAGAAGCAGCTCCCGCCAACAGCTCCCGAGCTTACAGCACCACACAGCGACCGCCCAGCAGCCCCCGCTTGTGCACCGCCGCCCGTCGTTCCAGCACCGGCAGCTACCACAAAGCCAGCGTCTGAGCACCCTAGCCCGGCCTGCCTTTTTGCTGCACCCACCCCCTCCCTCCCTTGGAATTCTGCTTCCAGGCCGCTCGTTCTCTTAACCACAGACTCGCCTCGATTCTGCCCTTCTCCAAGCGTGGTTGAGTAACGCATTGATGTCTGCGCCTTCGGATTACCGTCCCTAGCACCTCCTCTTGACCCGCCCTCCTCGGTCCCAGAGGGAACTCCTGCCGCACATCCCAGCCCGCCGCCAATCCACACCCCGGTCTCCAGCAATTCCTTGCCTGGTTGTACCGGAAACGGCAGTGCAGCAGCAGACGACGACTCATCATTCATCTACATCTACCTCCCGCCCTCAGCTTGGCTCTTGCTCCTCCACCGCTCGGTCTCTATCACCTCTCTGCTCTCGTACTGTGGTCGCAGGCCGGCACGGCACGTTCACTTAATAGTTAAACCACCACTCCCGAGCCGCCGCATTTGCTTGCTGGTAGCTCTACTCCCGGCGAGCCATCACTCACGAGACAAGACCACCACCACCATTATCCGCCCATCCCTACCGCTTCTAGGGACAGGCCGATTTTTTTTTTTCTTCACGAGGACCAGGACATCCCACGCTCACGTAGGCCAGCCATTCCTGACGTGACGCACGAAACGAGGTTACGGGAACGAACCACGACCACCCACATCATCAACCATGGAGGACTCATCACCCCTCGCGGCCATTCGCCGCCCCGCCGGCCCCCTGTTCGGTCACCGCACCGACGCTTTCCGTACCGACATCGGTTTCTACTCGCCCGAGAGCAAGCCGAGGGCATTCAACCTGCGTGAGCAGTTGGCATCCAAGAGGACATTCTTCAACGATGACTTCCTCAGGGGGTCGCCCAGCATCAGCCTTGCTGCGGACCTGTGCCAGAACTTCCGCATAGATCAGGACAGGAGGTACGTTGATTGGTTGGTTGCCACTAACACGCCATGACTCCAAATGGCGGCGTCGTGTGGGGAAAGCAAGCAGTCGCCGCCACTGAAGGCTAACCAATCGTGCCACCACCACAGTCCAAAGTTTCCCACACCACGCAGGGCACTGTTCACCTCCAACATGATGTGCGAGATGGGATCGCGTGGTAAGCCTGCCCTCCAATGTTACTGGGACGAAACATGGGGTGCCGGCATTTCGGGCCAGTGAAGGCGGAGCTTTTGTGCTGACAATGGGCAGACTACATTCCCTCGACGCCCATCATGGCTCCCTCGCCGACTCCCTGCGGCATGGTGGAGATGATGGACATCTCTCCTCTTCCCCATAAGATTCCCGCCGGTGCGCTTGTCGTTCCGGGTCCGTTAATCTGCGAGGTCGAGGTTGAGTCCCCGGTCCTGATGGAGAGTGCTGAGATCGAGCCCAAGGAGCCGTCACCACAGCCCGAGTCCGCCGAGCCTGCAGAGCCGGTGGCTCCTGCTCTGGCACCAGCTCCCGCGACGGCAGAGCTTCCCAGGCCGCTCGTTGCCGAGCGCAAGAAGCTCGCCGTCCGGCGTCCGTCCCTCACCAAGATGAAGGGTTTCTCGACCAGCAATCTGATGAGGAGTGGACAGCCCGACAACCAGCTCCCTCCCTTCAAGTTTGGCGGTGCCGATGCCAAGGTTGGCTCATCTGGCCTGAGCCTTAGCGAGTGCTTCCAGGTTTCGCCTCCCCAGGATCGCCGACCCGCGACCGCCAACAGCCCTATCGCCCACGTGTCGGGCCCCCTGCGCGCGCGCCCGCAGTTCTCTGGCCTGGCCAGCTCATCCAACATCACCCGCAACGGATCTCCCATCTCAAGCCACTCAAGGCGGCCCTCGAACCCCTTCATGCGGCCACGTAAGCAGTACCGTCGCTCGTTGAGCATGTTCGAGAATTCTGGCGACGTCATGAAGACGCGCAAGGAGGAGGCCCCGGCACCAACCCTCGCGTCCGTCATGGACATTGAGGAGCCCGCCGAGCTCGTCCTGCCGCACTTCTTCCCCGAGGGACAGACCGACAGCATCCCCCGCATCCAGCGGTCGACGCTGCTCGACGTCCTCGACGGTCGCTTCAATGAGCAGTATGACAGCAAGCTCATCATCGACTGCAGGTTTGAGTACGAGTACGACGGTGGCCACATCGACGGTGCCATCAACTACAACGACAAGGACCTGCTCGTGTCTCACCTGCTCAAGACGCCCATGGAGGGCCGCACCCTGATCGTATTCCACTGCGAGTACTCGGCCCACCGCGCGCCCCTGATGGCCCGCCACGTGCGCGCTGAGGACCGCACCGCCAACGCCGAGTTCTACCCTCGTCTGACCTACCCCGAGATCTACATCCTCGACGGCGGCTACAGCGGCTTCTTTGAGGAGCACCGCAACAGGTGCTACCCCCAGGCCTACGTTGAGATGGGTGCGGCAGAGCACGCCTTCACGTGCGAGCGCGAGATGGGTCGTCTGCGTCAGAACCGCAAGGGCGGCCTCTCGCGTGCCCAGACTTTTGCCTTTGGCTCCGGCGGCGTCCAGGACTCGCCCACGGCGCCCCAGCGCTCAGTCTCGGCCACGGCCACGTGCAAGGACTCGTCTCCCATGTCCATGATGCTTGGTGCCTCCCCCATCCTGGGCAGCGACAGGTTTCATGCTAGGCGTATGGCCTCGTACTGAGTCCAGCCGGGTCACCGACGCGAGAGCGTCTGTCCGCAGCTCTGTGGATTGCTTTGCCTTCTACCCAGACCCGCCTGAACGCCTGTCGGGACTAATATGCCCTCATCTCCTGATTTTTAGCTGCCTTTGCGTGTCATTGGTCGCTTTCCGCCGTCATCCCTCCCTGAGCTGTTTTATCTCTCCGTCCTTTCATCGCTCGACAAGACGGCGGCCATCGACCCCGGAGCCCGACTTGTCGCGGCGAGTCCTTCATGTTTTGCGCCGTTTTCGTATTTTTCTGTCAACCTGAGGCATTGGCATAGCATTTGCATTGGAACCCGCGCTCCCAGCATGCCCTTGGATCCGGCATCTGAGTGGCCTCTCGGCCGCGCTCTTTGGTTCTCTCTCTGTTTTATCTGCTTTTTCCAGCAAGCAAGTCACGTTATTGTCGCCATGTTGTGTTTTGCAACCCAGCACCTGCCGCCTACCGGAGCGACCTCGATCCTCGACCTCGTCGTCGCTTCGTTGCTATCCTCCCTCAGCAGACGAGAAGCTGCGTCTTTTCCTCTCGGCAACTATTGGCAATACGCCCGTCATCATCCCGTCTCTCTCTCACCCAACACTTGGGATTCTGTCTTCGCTTCTGGAGTTTATCGCCTGCTCTTGTTGCCAGCAGTCCTGCAGCAACATCTACTCGCGGCTCTCTCCTTGGTCTTTGGTAACAATATCAAGTCGCCTCGGCCACTTGATCGCACATCGAGACCTTTGACGACGTATCGCCATCTTTGCCGGCAAGTCAGACCTGCAAATCCGTCTAGCTCACGACACACCTGCGCCCCCGACAGTAGCTATCCAGTGCGAAGCTACTTGGCACAGAAGAGAAAATGCGGGCGCCCCTCAACCTACCTGAAGGGTCTGCCTACGGCGTCTGATGGCGGCCAACCCTCTCCTTTGTCAGCTGTCCCAACGCAACCGCCGAGCCATGGTGCCCCGGTTGCGCCTTTCCCGTAGGGGAACCCGAGTGCGTTCAGAAAAGGACATCTCGCCCTACCTGTCTGTTTGTCTTGTTTTTGGCCCCTATGCGGTCCTGTTGCGCTACGGCGCCTTTTTTTCTTGTACAAATATGTTCCCCTGTTTTTGCGGAAGCGAGCATGTGCGGGAAAGAAAATGGTAGCTCGGAAGGGGGTGCTACTAAGGAATTGGGTGGAAGGATTGTTTCCTCCCGCCTTGTATCTGCAGGAAAGCAGATTGGGCTGTGTGTATGGGACTTGGTTGTTGTTTGCGCATCTTTTCTCCCCCTCATCCATCATCACCATCATCATCGAGTCTGTTGTCAGCCCCGAATCAACCTTTATACCCAGAAGCACCAACAACACCTGCCTCGTCTTGTGGTTTCGAACCCCGTGGACACGGTTCAGAAATCAAAAAGACAGACCCAAGAAAAAGAACAAAAACGACATGACAAAAAAATAATAAAAAAGGACACTTATTTCAAAAGTGCTTGAATTGGATGACTTTGACACAGCGATGCCTTTTGAGAAATTGTGGATTGCGACATGTGATGTTGCCCCTGAGCGACTGATTCATGCTCAGGTTGCGTCGACACGAACTTTGGGACTACAATGCTCACGATTATTCGGGCCAATTACCTGCGCGCAATTTTTCCATTGATGTCCTCGACTTCACAAGGTGAAGCTTACCATCTACATATGTCAAGGCTCACGTGCAACACAAAGGCACGAACGCTATTTTACTTGGCCGTCCCTGACGAAGAAAGGAAAATGTTCTAGAGTCTGGCGAATGGGTTTTGTTGCTTTGTGTTTTTTTTATCCATTTGGCGCATTTTCTTTCACTACCTTCTCGCAGCACACACACAGTATAACAAAGGACACCAGGCAAAGCCGACACAATCTATGACATGACGTCAGGCAAAACTACGGCCCCGGGGATAGCCTCGCCCGGCTCAACGAAGGGAGCGAGAACCGGCTACGCGTTGTAGATGCCGCAGTCGTCGTCGCCAGTGTGCCACGACGGCCGCCGCCTCGGGGCGGCGCCGATGCCGGTGCCGGAGCCGGTGCCGGAGCCGGCAGCGGTGCTGTAGCTCGCTGCCACACCGGCGAACTGCAGGCACACGTCCGAGGGCGCTCTGGGCTCCGTCCCCGCCTGCAGGTCGTGGCCGTAGCCGCGGTGGTGGTGGTGGTGGTGCTGCTGCGGCTGTGGCGGCGGGGATCCCGCCGCCCGTCCCCGCCGGCTCGACGCGTTCGACCGCCGCGCGCTGCTGCTCCCGGAGGTGACGGCCCGCTGCTCCTGCTCCTGCTCCGCCTGCCGCCGCGCGCTGGGCAGGCTGGTCCTGTTGTCGACCGCGGCGGGGGCGGGGTGCACGGGATGAGCCACCGCCACCGCCACCGCCCTCGCCGTCGGTGTCGGTACCGGCACCCGCCTGACGGGTTGACCCACCAGCAGCTCCCGCGGCAAAAAGCCCGTCGCGCTCGTCACGGCGGCCTGGTTGTCGGTCGCGATGTAGAGCGGGTCGCGCGCCGTCGGCAGGAATAGCGAGTCGGACCGGTCGAGCCCACGCGAGAAGTCGGGCTCGTCGTCGTCGTCTCCGTCGTCGTGGCTGCTGCTGCTGCTGCTACTGCTGGTGGCCGGTCTCACCGTGTCCAGCTCGTGCACCATGGCTGGGGGCTCGTCGTCGGCCGCCGCCTGCGGGCAAGGGCTGCTGCTGTCGGGCCTGGCGCTGTTGCCGCTGTCGCGGGGTTGCTGCCACTGCGGGAAGAAGGAGCCGCCCGACGAGGCGGGGTGGGGCGTGACGCCCGGCAGGGTCTCGTCGACGCGGCGGCCGCCGCGCGAGCCTGTAGGTACGCCGCCGCCCGAAGAGGAGTGTGGGCAGCGGAGGAGGCGCGACACGTCGGCGGACGCCGTTTCCATCCCGACCCGGTAGGCGCCGAACTGCCCGTTCCGCTGCTTGACCAGCGCCGCCATGCATGGGGACTGGGCGGCGGGCCTGTACGTTCTCGGGTCAGTGGCCGCTCGGGCAGTGAAGGGGTTGGTGGTGGTGGTGGTGGTGGTGGCCATGTGGTCAACCCTGCGAGCGCTTGCACTCGCACTGGCGGTGGCTCCGCCGGACGTACCTGCCATGTCCAACGTGGCCCGGCCGTGCACCGTCGCCTGTCTTTCCGAAGCGCCGCCGCCGCCGCCGACGCTGACGACTACCGCCGGCCGCGACGGGGCGGCAAGCGGCACGGCCCGGGAGGTCCCGCGGTCGAGCGCGACCAGATCTCCGGTCCCGACGCTGGCCAGCGACGACGGGGCGACCGTGGCGGCGACGCCCAGAGGCCTGGCGCCGCCCGTATGTGACTGGGCTCCGGCTCCGACTCCGGCTCCGGCGCTGGTGTGTGGGTGCGGCGGTGTCGGGGGCAGCTCCTTGTTGGTGTTGGTGCCGCGGCTGCTCTGCCCATGAAGTCTGCTCTCGGTCCTGCTGGAGGAGGAGGAGGAGGAGAGCTCGCGTGACAGACGCCCGCGGCGCTGCTCATCCTCGCAGGCGGGGCAGATCACGTTCGTGATTACCGTCTCCGAGATGGTCAGGTCCTCGCAGTCGTCGACGGCGCTCCTGTTGAAGCTGCGTAGCCGCCTGAGGATTCTCGATTTGCAGCGACACGCTGTCGTCTTGCGGGAGTGGCTGCAAAGGGCGTATTTCTTTTGAAACTGTTGACACATGTTGGAGGCTGCTTGTCTCTAGCTGGGAGAGCAGCAGCAAAAGATGAGATGGTTCGAGACGGGAGGGTGTGAGAAGCACCCGGTAGGATACGTATCTGGCGAAGGCGTGCGATGGCGGTGTGTGTGAGGTCGAGATTGGAGATACTAATCTGGTTCTAGAAAGCTTGGGGCGAAATGGGGGCGGGAAGGCGTCTTTATTATATAGATACGTCAATGGGGGTGGCTTCGGTCAATTTTTCTAATAGCTTCTTTGTCTGCGAGTGTCTAGTCCGTCCTTTGTTCCGATTTTCTCGCACCTCTCCTTTTCGTACGCACGTAATGCACTGTTGAAAATTATACAACCTCACCCCCTGAGAACAAAGCCGATGACATGATACCGGGCGTTTTGCAAAGAGCTTGTCGAAGGTTTCTCATGTTATACCAACGACTGAGTCAGCCCACTCACGCTACAATCCATGACTAGACATAATCACGATCTTTGTCTGGACAGACTTGAAGGAGCACACATGCCTAGTCGTCATGCTTTGTGTCAGAATGGTATAGTAGTTCGTACGTACGTACACTCGAGTGACCAGGATAAACCCTGCGCCTGGGTCTGTCGAGGTTTTTGTCGTCCAATCGCTATCCCATACACATGTGTTTTGTGCAGGAAAAGAATGCCCTGCCTTCCACCTCAATCCTCTTTATGCTAGATAGCGATACGCTGGGTTTGTGGCCGCCGAGTCCTCTATCCGCTCTAGATATTCTCGCCCAATAAGGTCTTCTATCCTGGCCTTGATCATGGGAACCTGAGGCTGAAACCGTGATGCCAGCTGGCTGATGACCTCTGTGAGGAGCGAGTTGTGGGCCAACTCTTTGCGGGATCTGCACGAGACCAGTCAGTCGAGCCGGGCCAAACAAACACCAGCAGATAGAATAATGGCAAACATACTTCATTATACGCACAATGGCCGCGTCGACCATGTGCCGCCTCGTCTCGTCGTTCTTGTCCTCGGTCTTCTGGCGCTCCTCGTCGCCCTCGACCTTTGAGTGCGAGCTGATGACGGGCGCCTTGATCTTGATGGCCTTGCTCACGAAGCCCGTATTGAACGAGAAGCGGTCGCCGGGCCGGATAGTCTTGGTCGGTGGGTCCTTGAGCAGCACCCGGGCCTTCGGGTTGATGGACAGTGACGCCAGCGCGCGCGAGAGCTCCTTGGGCGGGATGTTTGTCGAGGCCTGGACGTCCTCGAGCGAGAGCGACGCGCCGTCGGCCACGTCGTTGAAGAGCAGCAGAACCACCATGCCGTACGTGGACGCGCCGAGTTCGTAGCGCCGCTCTTTGCTGAGCGGGCCCGTCTCGCGTCCCGGCACGCGGGGGAACACACACTTGATGTCGGCCGTGCCGGCCGACCCGACCCACGTCAGCACGCGCCCGCTGCGGTCGCGCAGGTAGAACTTGAAGAAGCTCTCCTGCAGCCGCTTCACCTCGGGCGGGTAGATGCACTCGGTCGACCCGCCGCCGGCCGGGTTGGTGGCGCTGTCGGCCAGCTGCTGCGTGCGGCCCATGACCTCGGGCGGCCAGTTGTTGCTGGTCAGCACGCTCACCGACAGCTCGATGGGCTTGGCCTGCCGGTAGCCCGCGTCGTCGCCGAGCGAGCTGATGTGCTCGTGGTACTTTTTGGACAGCTCCTCCGATGTGGCCATGTCCTTGAACATGCCCTCGAACTTTGACGTGAAGTGCTTGCCCAGGTCCAGCTGCATTAGCGAGATCATCTGCTTCTCCACCTCCTCGCTGCCCGACTTGCTGTGCAGCAGGCGCCGCGCCAGGTGCTTCTGGTAGTAGCGCTCAAACAGATCCTTGTCCCTCAGGTATCTGATCAGGACGATGGCCTTGTCCAGGATCACGCCCACCTCGCCATCCGTCTTGCCGCGGATCCCGCGCTTGAGGTTGTCGTCGATGAAGAGTGACACGTACTCGGAGCTGCGAGGGAAGGCGTGAATAAAGTCGGAGAATCCCTTGGTGATGGCCGACTGGATCGCCAGGTCCTGCTCGAAGCACCGCTCCCATAGTGTATCGTACTTGTCACGCAACGCAAGCACGTCGTCAACCCACTTGATGGCTGCCGCCGTTTGCTGCGCCTGTGTTGATAATGGCTGCTGCTGTGCCGCCGCCTTGGCGCCACTCTTGCTGCTTTCTCCCTCGACCTTGGTATCGCCATCAGCGGCAGCGGCCGTATCTGCCGCGGCCGGATTATTGTCCATATCCCGCAGACTCTTCTCGATCTCGGCGCCTTGGGCTGTGATCCTATTCTGCAGCCCATTCTTGAGTGCTTCCGTCGTGGGGTCCACCTTGAGTATGAGCTCGTACAGTATCGCCAGGTCCTCGATGCGGTCGTTGTCCAGCATCGATTTCAGCCCGTTGCTCTCGAGCGCCAGCAGCTCGCTCAGGTGGGTTGAGATGAGCTCAGCCTCGACAACCTTTGAGATCTTGTCCGTGGTCAGACGCGACAGCGTGGTGCGGCAGCGGTCGGCCTCCTCGCGCAGGCGGCGGTGGGTGTGGCGCAGCCAGACGCTCGCATCGGCGCCGCGCAACAGACGCAGGGCCTCGGCGCGGTAGAACTTGCGGCTGGACTCGAGGAAGGGCAGCTCAAAGTAGGTCAGGTACAGGCGCTGCGAGTCGAGCTCGTCGTCCGTCTCGTAAAGGTCCTCGAGCATGGTGACGCAGCGGTGTATCAGGTTGCGGTCTACAACATCGCCCTCGCGCTCCATGTTCACGTGGTCGAGAATAACTGCGCACAGAATCTCCCAGATGCTAAATGTGCGGTCGTAGCCGGGCGCAGAGATGGTACCCGGGTCGAGCAGGTGGTCGCGGAACAGGCCTATGGTGGTGACAAAGATGGACGTGTTCTTGCTCTCCTTCAGCCAGCCCTTGTCCAGGTACATCAGGATATCGGCCACCATGTTCATCGACATGTTGTGGCTCTCCCAGGCGTCCTTGAGGCCGCGCAGGAAGGTGTCGCCCATCTCGCGCCGCTCGTGGGCGCTGGTGCCCGGCACCTCAAACACGATGATGTTGACGAGGTTGGGCGCGATCAGGGCCTGGATCTGCGGGATGACCTGCTTGGCAAACCAGTCCCGCTCAAACTCCTTGACCAGGTCATAGAGCCTCTCGCCGTGCTTTTTCAGCACAATTTTGTAAGAGGCGCGGTACAGGTGCTCGAACGACAGTCGGCCGGCGTTTCGGTTGTGGATGTCGGTGAGCGCCTCCCTGAGCACGGCCCAGCACTGATCGAACTCGTCGGCCTCGGGCCGGAGGCTCTATTGTCCAGTCCATCTGAGGTTCAGCCGCCTGTCCTCATCGCCCCGGAATGTGAGTGGAAGGGAGAGCTACTCACCCGCTTTGGGGGCCTGATCTTGCCCCGCTGCATCTTTGTGGTCACCGAGGTACGTGCGGGGTGGTCTGTCGGGGATGGCGGTGGGGCGGGGCCGAGCACGGCACCATAGCAGCCGTTGGGTTGCGGAAGGAGGAGGTGGCCGAGCTCGCTCACGCGCGGGGGCGGCCGTGAAAGGCGGGCGTCTGCGCGTCTGGGGTTGAGACGGGGTGGCGAGTCCGTCGGCAGACAAGCAGCGCAGACGGGGCCGGCCGCGGTCGAAGAGCTGGGGGAGACCAACAGCCGTGGCTTGCTGGACGGGAAGAGGAGGAGGAGGAATAAGACAGGGGCAGATTTCGGTTCATGTCGGGCAGAGAAGCGATGCAATTCGCGAAGCTCCCCCAGCTTTGGTTTGGCTGCCCCTCACAAAAGTGGAGCCGCTGACAGCCGCACTGTTTGCCAGGCAGGCCACGCGAGCAACCCGCTAAAGTGCATGCAGTGCAGCCAGTGTCTGAGGTCGGCGGCCCCACACTGCACAGTCGCGCTTGCGCCACGCGATTCGGCCGAGCCGACGTCATTGGCCGTGCGTCTGCTAGGCGGCGTCAAATTTTTATGGCGGCAGGCGGAGTTGCTTTGCGATGCGACATGCGGAAATACCAACTTTTCAGGGGGGGACTGTGTTTCCACTCAGCCGACAAAGCAGGCCAAATCCAACAGAGGCTTACACCCACAGCTCACGGCTCTGAACATCAACAAAATGGCGGCAAGAACAACCCCCCGCCTCCTCGCATTATCCCAGAGGCTGGCCCCCTTCCTCCTCGCCGACGCGACAGCAACGACGCCCGCGCTCCTCACGAGGTCAAGAACACACGCCGCCATCGCGCAACGCACACACCCCCGCCCGACACCGCAGCGCCGCTTCCAACACACGATCCCGCGCTTCACCGGCCAAAACCCCTTTTCCGCCAACCCCACGCCGCCCCAAAACGCTGCAGCCGCAGACCCAGCATCGCCAAACCCGCCCGACAACTCCGGCCTAGACGCCCCAACCGCCACCACAACAACAACAACAACAACAACAACCCCCGAAAACACCAGCCGGCAGAACCGAATCCAGTCCCAGCCGCACTACCAGCTGACTTTCACGTGCGTGCCCTGCGGCTCGCGGTCCAAGCACGCCGTCTCCAAGCAGGGCTACCACCACGGCTCCGTCCTCATCACCTGCCCGGACTGCCGCAACCGCCACGTCATCAGCGACCACCTGGGCGTCTTTGGCGACCGCAAGGGCGTCACTGTCGAGGACCTCATGCGCGACAGGGGCCTGCTCGTCAAGAAGGGGACCCTCGGCGAGGATGGCAGCATCGAGTTCTGGGAGGACGACCTGCCCGGCGGTGCAGCGGAGCCGTAGGGAATGTGCTGTCCGTTGATTGTGTTATAAGCGTTCCCACTCTCTGGCAAAAGAAGAAGCTTGCATTACATCATATTGGGATGTGTGCATTTGCGAAAACCAGGCAGATACGCTACTATATGTATAAGAGATAAACCACCATAAAATGAAGCAAAAGAAGAGTATAGTTTTTTTTGCCGCCCGACCTTAAAACGCCTTATTCACAAGACTTCCTATCCCATTTGCTCAAGGCTCAACCACCCCCCTCCGAAGAAGTCTTCCTATATACACACCCACCTCACATAGCCTGCCGCATCGCCCGGTGCTCCTGCCCGCGCGTCTTGCGCTTCTCCTTCTTCTTCTCGAACCGCTTGCGCTTCTCGGCCCCGGCCCGCTCGGGCGCCGCCACGGCCTCGATCTTGCGCTTGGTCGAGCGCGCCTGCCTGCGCCCGCGCACGCCCTCGCCCACGGCCAGCAGCGCCGCCGTGTACGCCGCCGTGCCGAGCCGCCGCTGCAGCGAGTCCATGCAGTCGCGCGCCTTTTGCCGCAGGGTCTCGTGCCGCGCCGCAAAGTCCGGGTCGGGCGACCAGGGGGTCGGCACCGCCGGGTCCGTCACGTTGCGGAGCGGCCGCAGGATCGCGCGCAGCGAAGGGCGCACGCACTTGGCGGGCGCGAGCCGGTCGCAGTAGGCCAACAGCACGTCGAGCGCCGCCAGTTTTGGCACCAGCTCGGCCGACTTGGGCCGCGTCTCCTTCCTGACGATGGCCGCGAGCCGGCCGAACATGTAGCGGCTGTTGGTGTACTTCTTCTTGCCGTCGTCGCGCTCGACTGCCTCGCCGTTGTTGTCGTCGTCGTCATCCTCGTCCTCGTTGTCGTCGTCGCCGCCCTCCTCGTCAGACTCCGAGTCCAACTCTTCCGACTCGAACTCGACCGCGTTTCCGAGGAAGACCAGGATCTGCGCCACCTCCTCGGCCAGCGGCTCGCCGACCTCGTCGGACCCCAGCACGCCGAGGTTCAGCCGGATCAGCCGCATGACAGCCGTCTGATCCAGCTCCAGGCCGTGCGAGCCGCGCAGCCCGCCGCCGCGCGCAAAGTCGGCGAGGTACGAGCTCAGAAGCTTGACGGCCGAGAGCTTGACGGCGGTGTCGGCGTGCGAGAGGCACGCCACGATGCGGTCCCAGAGCTCCCGCGAGTCTGGCGCCAGTACCCTGGCCGGGTCCTTATCCAGCACGCCCCGGACGACGGCAAGGCAGACGTTGACGAGGTCGGCGTCCTGCCTGGCCGCGTCGGACACGACGTCCATGATCTTGCCCTTGAGCAGCGCAAAGTCCTTCTTGTCCCGGCTACTCGCCTCGCGGACCTCGAAGTAGAAGCCGAGCGTCTGGATGCCCAGCCTCAGCACGCCCGCGTTCTCGTCTTGGCCAAGCCATCCCCTCAGTATGGTTAGGAACTTCTGCGTCGAAGCCTTGTCGGCACGCCGGAGCACCTCCTTGACCAGCTCGGCCGCCGCAAGCCTGCACTTTTCGCTGTCGTCGTTTGCGAGCACAAATACCAGAGGTATGAAGCTCGTGGTGCAGACTTCCTGCACAAAGTCGTCGGCCGACTTCATCAGCAGGAGGTGCAACACCTCCATGACCGACAACCGCCCGCCCTCGCGGTCGTACTGCAGGTTCGCCACGATGAACTTGAGCTGCTTTTCCCACCGCGCCTTCTTCTGGGGGTACTCCCGAAGGAACTGAAAAAAGGCCCCGCGCGCCAGGTCTCGCGTGTCCTTGTCGTCGTTGGTGATCATCACCGAGCCCACATGGTCGAGCGTGTCGTATACCACTGCCGTCTCGATCTTGCGGTCGAGGACTGAGCGGAGGAAGCTGAATGTGATGTGTCTGTGCAGAGGCTCGGTAAGATCGTCCTTGACCCTGCCAAGCAGCATGTCGATCGCTGCATCCTTGACAGAGACATCGCTTCTGTCCCGGAGGATGACCGAAATGAGCCTTAGCGCAGCCTGCGCCACCTCGCTGGTGGTGGTTGTGGAACCAGAAATGGTGCGCAGTGCCTCCTTGAACGCCACCTTGTACAAGTTGGTTGAGTCGTTGTTCTTGAACGGCACCTTAACAAGTACCACCAGGAGCTTGAAGGCGGCCACCTTGACTTCCTCCTCGCCTGAAATGACGGCGTCACCCAGGATGGGGAGGAACCCGCTAGCGTAGGATGCAGTCCGGAGGCTGTCGTGTTTCCTCATGAGAGACCTGAGCACGTCAAGAGCGAACCGGGTGAGTTTGTATGTGTGTTTTGTAGTTGTGCCGCGATCGTTCTTTTTGGCCCCCTTCTGGATCAGGTATCGCCTCAGTCTTGGGTCCAGCTTGACTTCGGCCTCGGGCTTCTTGCTGTTGTAGACCTCCTGAATGACCTCGTAGCAGAAAATCAGCGCATCCTTGCTCTCGGCAGCGGGGTTGTGCAGGAGACCGGCCGTGACGCGGCTGAGCAGCTCATCGATCTTTCTCGCCATCTTGAGATTGAGCTTCTCCAGCAGCAGATCCTTCAGCGGCTGCACGAGCGTGATCAAGCAGCTGATCGACGTGTTTTTGGCGATAAGCTCCATCGAGTCTTGGCTCTTGCTGCTCTTGATTTCCTTCATCTTGTTCGTGTACTCCTCTGCCTCCTTCTCTTGCCCGGTCACGCCAAAGATGTCGTCCATGATGACCGCGACGACCTGGTCAACGCAGTAGTCGAGATCGCCTTGATTGAACTCGGGAATGACAGCAACCAGAATGGAATGAACCGTGTATGACAGGACGTGCAGCTGATATCCCCTGGTGAGGGCGCCGCGCAACTCTTTGAGAATGAAGCCGAAGCAAGGGGCGCCGAGAATGCACGCAATCTTGACTAGGGTGCTGCGCGCCATCTCCCGAGAGTCCCAGGCCTTGCTGCGCAGGATGTGGCAGATGTCGGTAAGCACGCCTGGGAGCTTCAGGTCGCGCGCGTTTGCGGGCAACAAGTTCAGGAGCTTGACAATGATAACGCCAATCGGGACTCGGGAGCTGACTGTGGTTTCGTCTTTCTCGTGCAGGTGATCAAGAAGGGTTGCCATCAGGGGTCCGGAAACCTCATCGCTGAACTTCTCCCGACTAGGTAGCCTCTTCCCGAGCGTCGAGATGCTTGGCGAAGCCGCCGCCTTGGCGTCATTGTTGCTCTCCAGATTGTAAGCCTGGCCAGCAGCGACCTCGAGAGCCTCAACAACCTTGTCCAAAAGGCGAATGATCTGCTTGTGCAACTCGGGCTTCGACTTGACGTACAAGACGTAGCGCCTGAGTAGTGCGCGATATTGCGGCCATTCAAGGGCACCAGCCAGGCTTGAGATGGTGTTGGTGGCTTGTGCTCCGAGGCCCTGGTCGTCACTCCCGTCCTCGCGCCCGAGAATAAAATGCTCAAGCAGAGGGATGAAGAACTTGCTGACGTTCCGGCTGCTGAGCGATGATCGCTCATTGACACCCTGCAGGAACTGCAGGGCCTGGACCTGCTTGGACACCGCCGGAGTGAGAATGTTATAGAAGAAATCCAGATCTCTCTTCTTCTTGGACTGCTGTGTCTCTTCCATCGTCTCGTCGCCCTCTTCCGCCTCGGGGACCAGAGGTGACAGATCCGCCACCGGCTCCCACGCTCTGAGGTGAGAGGCGAGAAAGCCAAGGACTCTCAGAAACTCGCGCCGCACTGTTTCCGACTTGTCGCGAGCTCCTACGTAGATGGCTGGGAGAAGAATCCGATCTAGCCTATCGGTAAACCGCTTGCGTGGTGGCGGTTGGTCCCACACAGATGCAGTCGCCAAAATGAACCGGCAGATGCCATCGGCAGAGTTTTGAGACAGTATACCGTGTTCCTCATCGTGGTGCATGTAGCAAATGAAGTTGTGAAGCAGAGGTAGCCATTGCTCGATGGTAAACGGCACCTCTCGTGGCTTGCAGATAGCGCGGAAGGCGGCGAGGCGGCGGTCGTAATCCGGCTCGTCGAGCCTGCCCTCAACGAAGGAGTTCAGCTCCGAAGACAGATCGGCAACCTCTTGGATGGAGGACTCTTGTGCCGCAAATACAAGGAGCAGTCTCGACAGGGATTGCCGGTTTTGGCGGTCCTTGAAGAAGCTGAACAGGGAGCAGATGGTCTCGTAGATGTTGCGGCGCAGCTTTCCGTCGTCTTGTAGGCTCTCGAGGACGACAAATCTCTCTAGAATGAGGAGAATGGCACCCTTAACCTTGGGGTTGACGGAACGTGCTGGCTGGTTGAGAAGGAAGGTTGATATCTCAACCAGGTTGCGTGTGTTCTTCGAGTTCTCCACCAGAGGAGCGATCTCGACGACGGTGTCCACAGCTGCCTCAAGAAGTTGCCTGCCGATAGGCGCGAGTTTGAGGACAACCTCATCATCTGCTGTCTCTTCCTCGGGCGATTTTTCCTCATTGACTGGCTCATCAGCGGCCGCATCATCCTCAACTTCCTCGTCGACAGGCGGAACAGCGACGGGTTTGGCTTTCTCGAGAGATTTCTCGTCGCTCGGCTTGCTCTTGTCCACAATCAAAAGTCTTCCGATCTCACCCAAGACTAGATCCAAGTTCGGGTCCAAAATCTCGGCGCGGATGAGCTCGTTGAACTCAGACTCCTCTGTTGGCGCGAGGGAAAGTCTGATGAGGTTGCGCACAATTCCGAGGGCAAAAATCTTGACTTCAGCCTTGGTATGCGAAACAGTGATGCACTGAATGACGGCAGGAATGACGCCGGCGTCAATCGACAATGCCAAAGCGTAACGCGGCATCAGAGACCACGTTTCCAGCAGACGCAGAGTCCAGGAAACGCTTTGCGTGGTCTCCTGAGACAGCGTCGCCATTTGTGGGCTGACGACCTCCGTCACGATAGGCTCCTGGTAAGGGGTCCAGTCGAACCCAGCCGCGTTCTTGAGCAGAGCGCAAAGACACTTGATGGCCGTGGTGCGGGCCGCCCTGAGAAGAGAGGCTTCGCTTTCTTCGTTCTCATCGTCATCCTCCTCTTCATTGTCCTCGTCTTCCTCGTCGGACGACGTGCGCAGCTTCCTCTCTTTATCGACCCGAAGTCTGCGGCAGGCAGGAATGAGGCAGTACAGGACGGAGTTGACGAGCGGGCCCATGTATTCCAGGACGCTGGAGCCGAGCTCCGTGATTATCGTCTCCAACATGTTGAGCAGACCAACTTGCTTGCGCGCCGGTAAACTGTGCTGATCAAACACCTTGTTGCACAAGCCGGTGCTGTCCACCACCCGAAGCCCGTGAATAGGCCCCAAAGCGATCTCGAGGAAGCCGCCGATGTCCTGCACTGAGAGGCTACGGATGACGGCGTGGCGCGTCCCCTGGACACCTGCCCGACCGCTAGCAGCACCCTTCTTCGAGATTGTCCTGCCGTACAGCAGCCTCAGGAGCACAGGCATGAGCTCCGGCCTGTCAGCATCGCGGATCTTGTTGTCGCCCTGGAAGAGCAGGGTGAGCTCATTCCTGAGCCGGGCCTCCTCGAGGAGACCCTGCAGGTTCTCTTGATACCGCTTCACCCCTTCCTGCTTCCAGGCAATAATGGCCTTGAGCGCTAGTTTTTGGACTTCGATATCGCCATTGGCAATTAGGCCTAGCAACACATCGAAGACTTGCTGGTTCTGGTACAAAACCCTGGGGTTCTGGAAGAGAGCGAACACTCCGATAAGGGCCTTTCGATCAACCAGAGACCAGCTCTTGCCCTCAGCCTGGTGGGCAATGCCATCCGAATCGTCGGCGTGTGCCTGATCGACGTCGTTCCAGCTGAAGAGGTGGGGCACCAACTTCCGTGACCTCCTCTCGGCAATGGATGGAATGGCAACGAAAACCTTGAGTGCTTTGCTCCGAGCCGTCTCGGACACATCGGGGACTATGGTCTGGGCATCTTCAAACGCCCGAAGCATAACGTCGAACAGCTCGTCGACAATGTGCTTCGTCTCCTCAGACTTATTCCGAAGACGAGAAAGATTTGAACACTCAAAGTCGGTCAATCGTCGACTCGTTGGCTGCAGGGTTGGCTTCGGAGGGCCACTCCACCTCTGAGATGGAATATCGAGCCACTCAAAAGTGATGGTGGCAATGATGTCCTCGCCGTCCTTGGTTTGGGCGATATCTTTGAGAGCCTCGACCGCGTCGTCCCACACAGGGGTCAGGCGTACTGTCGTCATGCCCATCAGGAATGCCGGGATGGCCTTGCGCAGCCATGAGCTTTGGTCGATACTTGCGTAGACTTTGCCGAGCTTGCGAAGATAAAGGGACATTGTCCGGAGGTTTTGCAGGTCCAGGGGCGTCTCCTCGGCCTGAAGCATGATGTCAAGGGGAGCGGAGTCGTGCATGGCCGGGGAAAGTTGGCTCAATATTTGCAGGGAGACCAGCCGAAGCTCGTGTGAGTTTGTCGAGAGGTTGCCCACGAGGGCCTTGACGAAGGGATTTTCCTCTGCGTCAGGGCTCTCGCTTCCACTATTGCTCTGGATGTGCTCATGTCTGCGCCGGATCAGCTTCTTCTCATATGTAAGAAGGTTTTCGAGGAAGCCGGGTAGACGGCAGAATCTAGGGGCAGCCGCGCGTAGAAGCGGTTTCAAGCTCATGTCAAGCTCCTCTGCATCTAGACTCATGCGCAAGTACGCGTGGAAACCAGAAGTGAGAATGAAATGTGCCTCGTCAGTGGCTACTGACGGCGATGGCCTCAGTGATAGCTTCAGCTTCCTAAGCAGCAGCTCTGCAATCCTCGCGCTAGTAGATCGTTGGATGTTCGTAGACTCGAGGATCCTCAGGAGGGCCGAATACTTTGGCAGACATTTGTCTCGCCATATCTTTGGATCCTTGTCGTACGCTCCCCTCTCCGGGAAAGGGGTGATCTCTAGGCGCTCGAACTTGCTGACCACCTGATCCTGCCAGGGTTGTGGAAGAAGAAAACCCTCGCCGGCACTCGTGGAGGGTAGTGCACCTGACTCGACCATTTTAGGTATCAGTACGCAAAGCATTTCTTCATTGTTGTCATCCGACCAGTGAGCGACGACGAATCTGAAGATGCACACACAGGTCAGCGGCTTAATTCTAAATAAGACAAGGTAGAACAGCATTATAGTGCATTCATTATACTTACTTTCGAAAGTGCGACCGGAGGTGACTTCGAAACTTATCAGCACTTAGTGTTGAAAAGTAGCTGCAAAACGGGATGAACCACTTCATAAATGGTTCCCGTGCCATAACGTCCGTGATGGGTTGGATTGCGGGGATGAGCGCGTCCACAGGGCTCTGGCCCCAGACTATGGCGACGTTGATGACCACGTGCTCCCACAACAGAGAACCGGCTCTTGACGAGGCAGCCTCGGGCATTTCGGACAAGGCCCCGAGCACATCCGACAGGGTCTTCACCAGAGCTGGCCATGCGGTCACCCTCGCACCACGACGGACACCCGCCATGATGCCAAAAAGGCGTGTGAATATCGATAACCGCCACGGATGATCTTTGGCATCAGGATGCGCTAGGGCGCTCGCGGCCTCGGCGACTATGGCGTCGGCCAGGGGTGCGAATGTTTCGGGCGTCGAGTGGTGGATAGCGCTGGTCAAGACACCACAGCAGACATCGGACCAGGGCGTCTGGTGGTCAAAGGCAGACTTCTCCTTGGATGGAGGCTCAAACTCGTTGATCGGTATGCTCCGCAGCAGCCGGGTATAGAGCTCAGGGGCGGTTGAGTGAAGCGTGTTACCGGAACTCTTGAGAGCCTCGGCCAGCATGGTCATGACGCCATGGTAGTAGAGCTCAAAATTCTTATCGTCGACCATGCCGACCAGATCGTCCCGCACGCACCGGATCAGAGTGGGCAGGGAGGAGTCGCGGTGAGCCGGGGCGGCCGACTTCTTGACCAGGAAGCTCAAGGCTTCGGCGGCGAAGCGGGCGATGTAGTGGGGCTGCCTCGCCCGGCCCAGCAGCGGCGCCATGGCCTGGTAGGTCGGGCGCACGTCGGGCACGAGCAGCCTCGCCAGGTACTTGAACAGGAAGGCCAGGGCGGCGAAGGTCCACTCGACAACCTCGGCATCCTGGGGGCGGCTCGCGAGGGCGATGATGAGCTCGAGCGATTTGGCGTAGTGTCTCTCGAAGCGGACGCCGAGGTCGTGTGCGAAGGCAGTCAGGAGGTCCAGCAGAGGTTCTAGTGCCTCCTTCTCGTGCTGGCTGATGTAGGAGACGAACATTCCCATGATCTTGGTCTCAAAATGGAGGATCTGGGCGAGACTGTCGCATAGCGGGAGGATCTCGCGCTTGAAATTTGTGAAAGGTTTGGAGATGTTAAGGTCGGTCCATTTTTCGACGCCAGCTCTCAGATACGAGGTCGTCGCCGACAGGTCTTCGGTCTCGAGGTCATGTCGTCGGACTTTGCGCAGGGGGTCGAGCGAGTGCAGCTTGGATATCTTGGTGGTGAAGGACTCCCATCGATGCTGCTTTTGGTGCGCCGTCAGGTTGGTGCCCCGACGGGCCTTGACAATCCGGCCAGACTTTGTCGCCGGCATCTTGAGGAGGACCGTATGCTTGGGGGCTGGGTGTTGTCTTTGACCTCAAGGCCATTGAACTGGCTGTTTATAAAGCCGGTTAGAAGTAGAAGGGCTTGTATCTGACGGCGCTTCGCGACGCCGAACGACTTGGCCGACGAGAATTTCCAGCTGCGCCCGCCGACGGGATCTCCGCCAAAAAAAATCCCTTATCGATAAACCTGCCTGCCCCGGAAAGTTTGCGGGGCTACCCTTGCAGACGATTACGTTTTGAACCAATAGGATTACATGCGCAGAGCTGTTGTGGGCAGGGCTGCATAAATAGTGGAACCGTTGTGCTTCCCGACTGGCGCGCCATCGCGGATTCTGTCGCGCTTCAGGCATTTTTGAACGAAGCTATCACAGCTTCCTCAGCGATCCTGTCCTGTAATATAGTAGACCATCTTCCCAAACACGCACCCTCGACGCTCGGAACGGCTTTTGCACGGAGCGAATACACTCTCTACCTCGCAGATATTGCGCACCAGACTTTCCCCAACTTTTCAGCGCATGACTTCTGTTCGCTCTCCTCTGTTCTCGACCTCGGGTCCAGACGCCCAAGATGGCAGCCAAAATGTAAGTGCGCCGTCACGCAGACATTACCCGCGCTTAGCGGCCTGATGGCCATAACTTACTGACCTGCTGTCTCTCAGCATCGTCCTAGGTAACCTCGCTGGGCAGATCAAGACGGCATTCGCCAAACTTGCCACGCTCCATTCCAAGAACAACTTCGCGCTTGCAATCGTCGCCGGCAATCTGTTCGGCGAGACCGACGACGACGAGGTCACGGCACTTCTCGATGGCACGATCAAAGTTCCTCTCTCGACATACTTCACCGTCGGCACGACTCCTCTTCCCCCACGCATTGTCGAGAAGATCGTGGCTGATGAGGAGATCTGCGAGAACCTTAACTTCTTGAGCAAGCGAGGCGTGGTCAAGACATCCGAGGGTATCCGAATCGCCACGCTTGGAGGGCTGCTGGATAAGACCATTGTCGGCGGCCAGTCAAAGGAGCAGCACTTGCCTTTTCACACGTCCGACGATGCAAAGGCTCTGCGCGGCGCAAACTCGGCTGACATACTCTTGACTGCGCTCTGGCCGTCGCCGGTCTGGAAGGGCTCCAAGGTGTCCGGAGCTGCTGAACAGGACATAGTAAAGACTGCTACCACCGAGATTGCCGAGCTGTGCGCCACCTTGCGGCCAAAGTACCACTTCGCCATGGGAATGGAGGCCTCCTTCTACGAGCGGGAGCCCTTCTTCCACCCGCCCAAGGGTGAAGGCGAGACCAGCTTCGACATCACACGATTCATATCGCTGGCTAGCTATGGCAATTCGGCCAAGGCCAAGGCCATGTACGCCTTTACGCTACAGACGGACGCCATCACTGCGCTCCCCAATGGCACAACCGTGTCTCCCTTCTACAACAAGGCCAATGCACCGAAGAGGCGAGCGGACGAGATGGACACTGGCTACTCGCGCTTCTCACATACGGGCGATGACGACCGGCGCAACAAGAGGCGGCGCAGTGACAGGCCACCACCTCCCGGGCCGGACCAGTGCTTCTTCTGCCTGTCGAACCCGTCGCTTCCCACACACATGGTCTGCACGATCGGGGAGGAGTCATACGTGGCGACAGCCAAGGGCCCGCTTCCGTCAGCGCAGACTTTTGCGGACCAAGGGCTCAGCTTCCCCAGCCACCTGATCATGGTGCCGCTCCCGCATGCACCGATGCTCACGACGGCAGGTATGGGCCGGGACGAGGCGGCGGGCGCGTTCAGGGAGATGACGCGCTTCCGCGAGGCGCTGCAGGCCATGATTGCGACTCGCAGCGGCCGCAAGCTCGGCTCCGTAGCCTGGGAGATCAACCGGAAGCGCGGCATCCACGCGCACTGGCAGCTCATGCCCGTGCCCGCCAACATGGTGCGGTCGGCCGCCGGGGGCGACAAGACCGGCGGCCCGAGTCTGGTCGAGGCGGCGTTCGCGGTCGAGGCCGAGAACCTGAAGCTGCCCAAGCTAGAGGTGCGTGACTTTGGCATCGGCGACGAGGTCGAGGGCGACTTCTTCCGCGTTTGGCTGTACGCCGAGGATGACGGAGGCGACAGCGAGGGCTCGATGGGCGGCCGGGTCGTCAGCAAGATGCTCCTGATGCGCTTCGACGTCCGGTTCGACCTCCAGTTCGGACGTAGGGTCATGGCCAAGCTGCTGGGCCTGGAGGACCGCCTCAAATGGCAGGACTGCACCCAGACGCAGGAAGAAGAGACGAAGGATACAGATGAGTTCCGAAAGGCCTTCAAGGACTGGGACTTTACTGCGAACCAAGAAGACTGAGAAACGCTCACTCGTTGTGGGTGAGAAGTGCAATGCATTGCTACTGGCGTTCGGATTGGGAAAAGGGGGACCCCACGGCTGGTTCTCTTCGTTGTCATTCAGGGGGCTTGAATTGGCTTGAATGATCCAAGTGAATTGCGAAGCGCGTATAGCGACCGCTTCGAGAGGCCGCATTTTTTGGCATGATTTAGGAACGGATTTTTAGAGACTCATGATAATGGGATGGCCCCCACGAGGACATTGATTTGAGATTTAGACATATCCCTCACTTTTTCAAAAGCCAGCCAGCCGATAGAGGAAGGGCGTATATCACTTATATCCAGATCACTACATCCTGCCTGCAATTGAGCTGGTAACCACGCATGGAGTCAAGCCAGAGATATAGCAAATTATCAAGTAACAGCTGGATACCCCGAATCTGGGTTCTTCATCTGTGGATCTCGCTTCGCCGAAACAAAGCCTGGCTTCCGTTCCAGGCAAAACATGGCCAACAGGATCTAAAAAGAACCAGCGGCGTCTAGCGGCTAGGGGTCCCCTCCCCCACCCAGACCGTGCATGCCAAGTCCCTGACCCAACTGGACCACTGATGGCTGTGCTCGTGCCCTCAGCTGATTGGTAGCTTCGCTCGTTGCATCCGTGTCAGGTCCCTCGACGTCGGGTCTTTGACAGAAACGCCGCCCGTTTTCCCCGTTAGTGGGCAGGGTCGAGAGAGTGACCGCGATTGACGTTCTCGACTCGTCCATGATATTTTCTAGCTGTCATCGATTCTTACCCAACATCAGCGACGAGGAGCCTTATAGCCAGACCTTGTCGATTTATCTGTTCCCCCCTCGTTTCTGCCGGTTAGAACGTGTTGTTTCATCACTTTCCACAACTCTAATACCTCGACCCTTCCCTGCCACCTGAGATCCTTCTCCCCGCATCGAAAGAGCTCACGGCGTCAACGAATAAATCCACGGAGCCCACCATCTACATAGCTGTCGAGACGCCATCAGACAGGCACCTCAGCTCATTGACACCACATCACGCCGCAATGGCGGGCGACCAGCGCTCGAGGGGCGAGCCCTCGGAGGGCAAATCGAGCATCTCGCGCGACTCCGAATCCACCGATTCCACGGCCAGCCTAGTCTTCGAGCACATCAGCGACCGGCTCGAGAAGGAGAAGAACACGAGCAGCCGAGGCCAGCGTCAGACGGGCGGCGGCGGCGGCTACCGCGACCGCGTGTCCGAGTTCGACGACGAGGACCCGCTCAACACGAACGGCGATGACCTCGAGACGGGCCCCTTCCTCGCGGGCGCCGGCGCGTCCATGTCCGGCGCCGTGGCCAGCATTAGGAACGCCAACATGGACAGGGGCTTTAGGCGCGTGCTGCTCATCGTGGGCGGCTTGCTAGTCGCCGCCTGGGTCGGCGGCCTGATCGGTTACGTCGTGTCCAAGTCGTACAAGCACCCGTCCCAGACCGAGCACGACCCCCAGGCCACGGCGCCGTCGCGCGGCAGTGGCCGCACAATCACAATGGACCAAGTGCGGGCCGGGCTCTGGCAGGCCAGCTCGCACTCGATCGAGTGGATCGAGGGCCCCGAGGGCCAGGACGGCCTGATGATCGAGACGGACGCCGCGGGCAAGGACTACGTCGTGATAGAGGACGTCCGCGCCCAGAAACCCAACAGCCACGCCGCAGCGGGGACCGGCGCCGGCGCTGGCGCCGACGTGGCCAGCACGCGCACGCTCATGAAGGCCGGTTCGTTCGACTACCGCGGCACCACGTACTGGCCCTCGGGGATCAAGGCCAGCCGCGACCTCAAGAAGCTGCTGCTCTTCACCGACTCGGAGAGCAACTGGCGGCACTCGTTCACGGCCAAGTACTGGATCCTCGACGTGGGCTCGCAGACGGCCGAGCCGCTGGTGCCCGAGGAGCCCGACGCCGTGGTGCAGAACGCGCAGTGGAGCCCGACCAGCGACGCCGTCGTCTTCACGCGCGACAACAACCTGTACGTCCGGCGGCTGGCCGAGCGCAAGGCCAAGCCCATCACGACCGACGGCGGCCCGGAGCTCTTCTACGGCGTGCCCGACTGGGTATACGAGGAGGAGGTGCTCGCCGGGGCCAGCGCCACGTGGCTGTCCGAGGACGGCAAGTACGTGGCCTTTTTGCGCACAAACGAGACGGGCGTGCCCGAGTTCCCCGTGCAGTACTTCATGTCGCGGCCCAGCCGCACCAAGCCCGCGGCCGGCGAGGAGACGTACCCCGAGGTGCGCCAGATCAAGTACCCGCGCGCCGGGTCGCACAACCCCGTCGTCGACCTGCAGTTCTACGATATGCAGCGCGGCGACGTCTTCTCCATCGACATCACGGGCGGCTTCGCAGACGACGACCGCCTCGTCACGGCCGTCGTGTGGGCCGGCGACCGGGTGCTGATCAAGGAGACGAACCGGGTCAGCGACGTGATGCATGTCGTGCTCGTCGACGTCGCCAAGCGCTCGGGCAAGACGGTGCGCACCGTCGACGTCGGCAAGGCGGACGGCGGCTGGTTCGAGATCTCGCACAATACGCGCTACATCCCCGCCGACCCGGCAAAGGGCCGCGCCAAGGACGGCTACGTCGACACCGTCATCTACAACGACGGCGACCACCTGGCCTACTTCTCCCCGCCCGAGAGCAGCGAGCCCGTGATGCTTACCTCGGGTCCCGGCTGGGAGGTCGTGGACGCGCCGTCGGCCGTCGACCTGGCCAACAACCTCGTCTACTTTGTGGCCACCAAGGAGGGCAGCACGCAGCGCCACGTCTACAGCGTCGGGCTGGACGGCAAGGGCATGAAGCCCTTCACCGACACGTCGGCCGAGGGCTACCACGACGCCAGCTTCTCGGCCCTGGCCGGCTACGCGCTTCTGTCGTACCAGGGGCCCAAGGTGCCCTGGCAAAAGGTGGTCAACACCCCCAGCAACCCGACAAAGTACGAGGCCACGATCGAGGACAACGCCCGCCTGGCCGAGTACGCGCGCAAGCACGAGCTGCCCATCCTCGTCTACGGCACCCTCAACGTCGACGGCGCCGAGCTCAACTACGTCGAGCGCCGCCCGCCGCACTTCAGCGACAAGAAGCGCTACCCCGTGCTGTTCCAGCAGTACAGCGGGCCCGGCTCGCAGTCAGTCAGCAAGCGGTTCGGCGTCGACTTCCAGTCGTACGTGGCCGCCGCGCTCGGCTACGTGGTCGTGACGGTCGACGGGCGCGGCACGGGCTTCATCGGGCGCAAGAACCGCGTGCTGGTGCGCAAGGACCTGGGCCGCGTCGAGGCGCACGACCAGATCGCGGCGGCGCGCCACTGGGCCTCGCTAAAGTACGTCGACGCCAGCCGCATCGCCATCTGGGGCTGGTCGTACGGCGGCTTCATGGCGCTCAAGACGCTCGAGCAGGACGCGGGCCGCACCTTCAGCTACGGCATGTCGGTCGCGCCCGTGACCGACTGGCGCTTCTACGACTCTATCTACACGGAGCGCTACATGCTGACGCCCCAGCTGAACCCGGCGGGCTACGAGTCGAGCGCCATCAAGAACACGAGCGCCCTGGCCGCCAGCAAGCGCTTCCTCGTCATGCACGGCGTCGCGGACGACAACGTGCACATGCAGAACTCGCTCACGCTGCTCGACGAGCTCGACCTGGCCGGCATCGAGAACTACGACGTGCACGTGTTCCCGGACAGCGACCACAGCATCTACTTCCACAACGCCAACAGGATCGTCTATGACAGTGAGTTTTTTTTTTCTTCTTTCCCTTGGCCGTATTCCAGGGGGTTGTGCTGTAATAACACGTGCTGCTCTAGAACTTGAGAACTGGCTGGTCAACGCCTTCAACGGCGAGTGGCTCAAGGTCAACAACGCCAAGCCCATCGAGAAGATTCCTCTCCTCGAGGAGGAAAAGAAGTGAATCATGGGGCGAGCTTGTTGGGTGGAATGTGGCGTTTTTCTGGGCTGTGGCGTTTGCTTCGTTGGTTTTTTCTTCTCCTTTCGCCAACATTTGCACGGCGTTCTGTGATTTCCTTGCGGGGACCATGTTTTAATTGTACAAAGGCTATCAATACATATTACAAGATACCTTTATGATACCACTCCTATGGCTTGACATTTAGTGTTGGACACCTCCATTTGCTCTGGATTCTCGGTGCTATGTTGCCATAATGTGTCCGCTTTAGTAAACCTTGTCCTCCTAGCCAGGTAGCCTAATCTGTCCCCAGCCACCTAGGCTTGAAATGGACGGGTGTGGAGAGAGATAAGTCATCAGGGCGCACGGGTGTCAGGAGGAGATGAGTCATCAGCCTGTGCACGGGCCTACAGCCCACCTTATGCACGCTTCGTAGCCCTCGGCCCTCCGGGCCCTAGCCTAGAACAAAACACCGCACTTTTCACCATCAAGCACGTTCATTGGTTTTATGGTGATCCAGGCAAGGACACAAAAAGCTTTACCCTCCTAACCTTGCCTGCGTAAAACCGACAATTGAAGCCGAGAAATTACCATTACAGGATATTCCTTGGTATTTTGTTCACGGTTGCGTCAAGACCCCGCTAACCCTCCATCAATCGCATCACCAGATTGCGCGAGAACCTTACGTTGCCGACCCGTCAAACCCTCTGAAAACGATTTGTCCCATCCTTTGTTGGAGGGGCAATCGGCTAGCAAAGCCTTATCTTTGAGCCGGGTCTGTCTGGCCCAGGACGGGATCCCGGACACGCCAAATTTTACCCAGTTACAGCTTTCACATCGCCGCTTATCGCCGCCTATAGCCCTTTAAAGTACCTTTGAAACCCTCCCTCCGATTGTTATTGACCTTCCAAAATTTTGGCAAATTTTGGAAGTTCTAAATTGCCTTTGGAAGCCACATACTTGCTACATTGCGCCGATTCAAATTACCCTTTAAGCCACTTGGCGCCGGTGCCAAACTTGTCGAGCTAATCCAATTAGCCAACGTCCGACCAACGTTGCGCTAACGACACGCTAAAAGTTTTTTTCCTTAAAAAGATACGACACGACCTTTCCTTCCCCTTTCGCTTTTTCACATACCACTCCATTACGTCATCCAAAACCTTAAGTTACCACATTTGCCCCAAACACTTTCCCTTTCGCTCCGCTGAGGAGCCTACACTTTGCCACTCCTTTTCCCGATTAACGTAAAGTGGTGTTTTTTTTTTCAGGCCAGGAAGGAGGCCTTGAAATTTTGTTGAGAATCCCAATTGAGGGACAAAACCTGTTTCCACATTCCAGATTTACCAAAGAACTTTTTCCCGAACAACACATTACAATTATCATCCTGGGGAGAACCGTCCAGCTTCCAGTAAAATCCATTGCGGGCTGTGTGAAGCCTATTGCTTTCTGCCATTTTGCTATTTCGATCCTGTCCATCCAGATCGTTTCCTTTTCCTGCTCTCTCCCTCGTCAATCCGGTCGTCACTCTCCACACTCCTAGTCTCTGGTCGCACCCAATCCTTGAGGTCTGCGTCCACGTTCCTCATCTCCTCCTGACAACGGGCTAGTTCCACCTACTTTAGCACTTCCCACAGATTGGCCCTTCGGGCTTTAGCCTAGATCAAAACACCGCACTTTTGCCCATCACTTCTCGCACTCGTTTTATGCCGATCCAGGCAGGGATTACGTGGAGTACCAGCCTCCTACCTTGCCTGCGTAAGACGATCAATTGAAGCCAAGATATCGCTTCTCTGACCCATCTTCTGGTGTTTTGCCAGATCGCATCGGGAGCCCTGTTGGACCCGACCGCGAGAACCTCACTTTATCGAACCCTCGAGCCCTGTCACAGGCCAATTCATCCCACCCTTTTGTTGGACTGGTTACTGGACAGCAAAACCTTTCCCTCGAGCCAGATCTATCTGGTTGGAGATCGGGTTTCGGGCGCACTCAATCTCGTCGATCCATAGCTCCCACAGCGCCTCCCACAGCGCCTCAGCCCTTCTCCGAATCACGCCCTCAACTCAATCCCGACCTTCCAGAAAATTTCAAATTTTCCGATCTTCCAAATCGGGCTGGGAGACCACATCTCAGCCTGTCCCACGCTCCGAGGACATGTGACGGGAGCGAATGTCATCTGAGTGCCGTAGTGTTGCATGAGCTGGTAGAGTCCCGCGTTCTTGAAATGTGAGCCGTTGTCACAATAGATCGAGTCTGGCCATCCCATGATCGGAGACCACTGTCTGAGCCATGTCTGTGCCACGGCGTGTCCGTTCGCCTCCCGGCATGCAGCCGATGTGGTGAACTTGCTAAAGTAGTCGACGGCGATAAGGATGTACCGAGAGCCATCAGTGGCCGGAGGATCTATAGGGCCCATAAAGTCCATCCCGACAACCCTGAAGGGGCTGAGGACGGTGGACTTCCCATGATGTAGCCGGAATGCTCGTAGTCCGCATCTCTGACAGGCCGGACACTCACGGCACGTTCTTGCAACGTCTGCTGCCCTAGTGGGCCACCAATATGGGAGAATCATTGGAGTTGAGAACTGTGCACGCGTGATCGTCACCCGCTTCCTGCCACCGGCCCTGATGATAGCGTTGTTTGACCTCGGCAGCAACAATCCGTGGTCGCTCAACACTAAGAATGTCACCAATGACCAGACTGATCGAGGCAACTGGAAGCAGACCTCACTGAACGAGATGCCGGTGGTTCGGTCCCTCATTTGCGCCCTCTATGACTGGAATAAATTCGTGTTGGGAACATCTAGTCTTCGCGATGCCCTCACTGCCGAGGCCAGTCCGCCCTCTCTCTCTTCCTCCACTACCTGCCATCTGATGGGCACAGCCATCCAACGGTATAGGAGGGAGATAGGCCATGACAGGCACTAAGCAGTTGGATTGGATGATGCCAAGGAACGTGGTGATCCCCCTCCCAGAGTCTAGGCTGCCATTATCAGAAAAGGTGGTTTCGAGTCACCCGAAAATGCCCGACCACCCGAATAACCAGGTGCCAACGACGTCGAATCCTTGCGCCGATGGCGAGGCCTTCAGGATGACGAATCGGGCGAAGTAGTTAATCGCGAGCAGGCTCTACTGACCCCCATTAGCGGCCGGTGGTTTAATAGGCCCGGTAAAGTCCATTCCAACCACACCTCACGGGGCTAGGATGATAATTTTGCTGTATTTCAGGCGGAAAGATCTTAGCCCGTATCGCTAACAAACTGAACACCCCGTAACATTTCTCTAAGTATTACGAAAGCGAATCGGCCACTAGAAGCGGCCTTTCAGGTTGTTCATCGTGGCCGTGTAAGCAAAGTAACCACATGTCTCCTGCGCCCAGGTGAGGACTGTCTTGATCTTCTCGTCCCCGATGACCCCAATGTAGGTATAAGATCCTCAGCGGGTTCCGTTTCGGTGCTATCGCCTTGTTTGCCCAATGGGAGAACCTTTTTCGCTTGCACCAGAAATCGGCAGCCCGCTTACCGCGTCGTTAAGAAGCGCGCCGACAAACCAGCCGACAAACCAGCCGCCAAGCCCACCAATAAACCACCAGCCGTTAAGCCTGCCAGCGGGCCCGTTGCAGGCCGCCCCGCGACCAGTCCTGCAAAGAGCCCCGCGGTGAGGCCGGCGGCCGTAACGCCGGCAAAGACTCCCAAAAAGAAATGACCCGTGTGCAAAACCCACATGCGGCCTTGCGGGCTGCGCAGGTCCACCACCACCACCACTTGCAGACGCCGAGCCGAGAGCAACCCGGCGCCCCCCGGCTTCTCCAAGGCTTGGCCGGGGAAGGCCGTAGTAATAGGCATGGAGGGCCTTTGGACGAACCACCTCGTTACCTGCATCGGCATCGTGGTAAAAAAAAACGGCTTTGCTTTACGGAACGGAGGTGGGCGTTAATATCCTAGCGCACACATACTTTATAAAGCAAGGGGTCGAAAAGATTATTAGGCAGCTGAAGAAGTCGCTGGCGGCATACCAAAACTACAAGATTAAAACCTACATTAGCATCCCGGACCTGGACGGGAACCTCCCGTCCGGCTGGAAGCCGGAGGATAGGGAGTGCTTTTTGCTCGCTATCGAGGCCGTTACCTAGGCCCTTACCCAAATTACCGGCCAGGCTCCAACGCAAACAACACACCGGATAGCGGATTCGGAGTCGAACAACGGGAGGATAGCCCACAAAGCCCTGGAACGATGGAGATTAATAATGCCGGGCAGATTGTTGCAAGCGGGGGGACCTTTTAAGCATGTACTTTATGCTGCTGAATGGAACTAGGCATGTAGGGTAATGGGCTCGGCGAGGTTCATCTGGAGGGCGTTTTAGCGTTTGTGGGTGAGGTACGCGGTGATGGATGCGGCTGGCTTGGTTGTTCTGTTTTGGCTATCTGGATATTTAGCACAATTTTTACGGGTTAGCATATTGGCAGCATGCAATTTATTAAAAGTTCTTCGTCTGCAACTCGGCTCGCACCACCAGAAAACGGACGCCTTTCTTCTATTTACGTGGAGATATTCAGCGTAGCAGCTCGAAGCATAGCATACTTTCCATTTTTACTTACACATCCCAAGCATCCAGCCAAGCATCTCTCCCCGCAATCGACATAACTGTATTACAAGGAGGAAACGGGTGTGGAGGGGTAATAACCATGGAAGCCATGGAAAAGAACGATGGAAGGAAGGCAACGCCAGTAAGCGAGCTGCAAGGCATCTTGATACGGAGGCCTCCTCCCGCGTAGCATTTTGTCGGGAATGATTTGCCATTTGGAGGGGTAGTTGGTGTATTTGAAGCCAGCTCCGCTAACATGCTATTGGCGATGCAAGTCGTTTATCACTGGATTGTAATCATCAAAAATGACCTCCGCGGCGAGGGATTTCCCGCCCTGGGAGAGGAGGGGCTAAAGCAGATAAATGACCTTTGGAAATTCCAGATTGATCGTGGACAGGCCGAGGCTTGGGCCATGAACAGCCTTAAGTTTCTGGTCTACGACGGCTCGGACAAGGTTGAGCTGCAGGTAAGTACCATCCTCACTTTTTTAACTATGTTACAAACCAGGAGATTACCGGGACAATCGATACCAAAAACGAAACCCACCCGCTAGTCTTGTCCTGCCATTTCGTCGACGGCAGCTTATCCCGGATGCTAGTAGCAAGCCTGGGAGGAAACATGGCCGATGCCTCCTCCCCCGCGAGGGATTTGGAATGTGCGGTGTCGGCGCCCGCGTTGAGGAGCACCTCCACAATGTGCGCCATCAGCTCCGCCCGAACCGCACTACTCCCAGCGCCGGACGAACCGCCCCCGACCGTGTGGGCGCCAGCCGCTGCCGTTGATCGTATGTGCTCGCAGAACCACGACCAGACGGTGTCGTCCTCCTCCCTCGCGCCGCCCCGCCGTTGCGTCCGCGCGGGCGGCGGCTGCCGCTGCTGGTCATCGTCATGGTGACCCCCGCCACGGCGGCAGTTGGGGCTCGCCCCGTGCGCGAAGAGCTCCTCGAGCATCTGGAGGCGCGCGACCGTGACGGCCCGGGCCACCGACGCGCCGCCCAGGACCAGGCCGACCAGGTTCGTGAACAGCGCGTCCCAGACGACCCTGTGCGAGTGCCTCGCGTCGATCCTGCCGCGGACGTGGGGCACGACAAGGACCAGGGGGCTCCTCAGCCGCCTCGTCATATCCAGGTCCGACGTCTTGACGACGGCCGCGGCGAGGTTCTGGGCGTACGTCCTCCAGCACTCCTCGTCCCGCGCCAGCTGGTCCCGCACGGTCCCGTTCCCGAGCAGCACCTCGAGCACCGGGCTGGCGTCGGCGGCATCCGGGTCCGTGGACGCGCAGGCCTCGAGGCAGTTGTCCAGGAGGAGCGAGGCCTGCAGCGGGGAGAGTGGCGGGTGGTGGTGGTGCGCGCCGCCGCCGCCGCCGACGACCATGGCCTCGATGTAGCCGGTGAGGCAGTGGCGGACCGCCAGCCTCTGGAACCGCTGCGGCCTCGCCCATTCCTGCCCCAGAGCGTGGCCGGCCCGGACCAGCTCGTTGACGCACTCGACGGCGGCCTCTGCGCACTCGGCCTCGGCCTCTCTCGCGAAGTTGAGCGCGTCCGGAACCAGGTTGTCCGGGAAGTCGTCCGGCGGGCAGACCTTGATGAGGGCGATGTAGGCGTTCAGGACGGCCGTGTTGGTGGGGTAGTCCCCCAGGGTGTCCTGCAGGTACGCCATCATCTCCTCCTCCCGGAGGAAGTCCCTCACTGTCCGGTGCAGAAAGGTCACCCTGTGCGCCAGGTACTGTCGCCTCTCTGCAGGGTCGAGGTGGATCTCCAGGAGCCCCTTGCAGCGGGCGTTGAGACGACGCCGCATCTTGCAGTGCCGGTCGAATATGTCGTATTTGTCCAAGGGCTCGGACAAGACACGAAAGGCGAACCGGTCCTCTTCGTAACAGTCGTGCAGGAACGAGTAGTGCATCAACGTCAGCTTGGCGGATGTGTCGAGCGCGACCCGGAAGAACAGCGCCATCTGGACGCGGTAGATTATGGGGATGGAATTCAAAATGTGGAGGAAGAAAGGCCCAAGTTCCTGCGGGATGGTCTTGAGTCTTCCTTCCAGCATGCGGAGGGAATCTCCGTTGGACAAGCCCTCCCGAATGGATCTGACGACAAGAACAACCCAGAGGAAAACTCCTTGCGCCTTGTCGCTGATTTCCTCCACCAACACAGTGTACCTCGTGTTGTTTTTGGATTCCATTGCCCAGTTGCCGTCGTTGTTAAGTGTCGACTTGACATACTTTGCAATATCCGGGCGGGTCAGCTCATGGAGGTAGAGTTTCGTAGACGACTCTCGGCCGAGTTTGTCTTCAAAAACGTTCCACGGCCGACTTGAAACGCATAGCTTGATGTTTTGGCTGGCCTTCATGCTGTCCAAAACCTCCAACAACTCCAAGTGGTCGCCGCTATATTCGTCCAGGCCGTCGATGAAGAAGCAGAACCGTCTTGACTCGGGGGCTTTGGATAGCAACCGAAATGCGTCCGAGAGTTCTTTCATTGTCCATGTTTCGTCGACGAGCGTTCGCCTCCTAGGCCCACGGCGCGCGGCTGTCAAGGTGGCCCAGCGTTGAGGAAACAAGAGCGGTATCAAGTCCGGATCGTGCACGAGGACATCGAAGAGGAGCGACCTGAACAATCCCTCGACGGACTTCTCCAGGCGGGTCCCGGCGCTCCAAAAGTAGTACGCCCCTGTTCGGCACTCGGATGAGCGGGACCAGGCGTTGAGGGCGACCTGGGTTTTCGGGTGCCGAGCGACAAATTTCATGAAGGTAGACTTTCCGGACCCTGGCTTTCCAGATACCCAGTATACACCACTCCCCTTCCTCAGCCAACGTAGCAACAAGGATTCGGTTGCCACCGTCTTGTGACTCGGGCGATACCATGCTTCCCAGTCCCCTTGATTGTCCGCGGTGCTGCCAAACAGCCAACGGAAGGTCTTCTTGTGTGCTTCAGGGATGGACTCTTGCCGCATTGGGCGCGCGTCAAAGTGAAGTGCTTGAACAACCTCGTGTTCCGAAATCCATTGCCGCGTGGACGATGCACAGATAATCTCGAGGTCCTTGGATACCGTCGACAACTGGGCCAACAGCTCTGTCCCATAGAGCTGACGGAGCATGTTTGTTTGCCTGGGGAGATCCTGAATGATGGTGGTTAGTTGTGCGATCTTGGCAGAATGGTCGTGAACCAAGCCGAGGTTCGCTGCCTTGAGATCCTCCAAATGTTGTATCACGGAGGAATCAAGGGAGCGCCTGTCCTGTGCCCTGTATCTCCCAGGAGCCAGTGAGGCGGCACGTTAATATTGCGAAATTAAAATGCAGATCGACCGGAAAAGGACGGGGCGAAAGGATGGAGGGGTTTGGAGCACAAACGTTGTAATCTGTAGAAAATGGACCACGAGCTCCTCGCGGTAGCCTTGCAGTCTTTTTTGCAGATCTTCTGTCTTTTCCTTTCCCAGATGCGCCTTGATGGCCGCCCGGAGAGCACCCCTCTTTGTGCGAGGGCCCTGCGCCGGGTCGAGGATCATGCTTCTGATCTGCTCCGCCAGCTCCTCCGCGGTGGCCTTGCACTGCACCGCCAGTTCGGCGAGACCATCCTCTGCCGTTCTCGCCTTGGACTTTGCCGAGTTCCCGCAGTAGGGAGCTGGCGGAATGGGGTGGTCGATGCTCAGGTTCGTGCAGAGCCGGCTAAGTCGCTGGCACATTTCCTCCACTCCCCCGAGCTCTTTTGTTATGCCCCTAGCAGACTCGAAGATCTCCCGCGAATCCGATACAATGTTGGCCCCTAATGTGAGGAATTGTAAGATATTGCTCGCGAGTCCAATTGCTGCAAACGCCTCCATCGTGGCGGCGTTGTGTTTGTGGCCGAGTTGTTTGCTTAGTGTAGCTTCTTGACGGAAACGAAAAGTGTATAGCAATGGGTTGGGATCTTGGATATGGAGGCACGTACGCTGACGAAACGTCGGAGTAGCCCTGGGGAGCAGATGCGAACTACATCCCCTTACCCCTCACTTGCCAGAAGGCGCCGGGTGCCCGCAGCCTCCTTCTGTACCTAGCAATGGCCCAAACGTTTGTGCTGGTTTTGCCCGTCTTTACTGGCCCGGCGCCTTCTGGAAATTGGGGGGATGGGCTTATATTGAGCCACATAATGCCCTCTAAGCCTCCGCCGACATATGACTTGACCAATGCGGCACATTTGCATCCACCCACCAGGGCAGACTCATAAGCCACAGAGGCGAATTGATATGCATGCTACGTCAATCCATGACGGAATGGAGTTAGCCTTGCCTGAAGGCTGCCACCAGTTGTTTAATCGAGTCGTCGGTGTTTTTATTCCGTACCGCCATTACACCTTTGGAGTCTAGAGGTAGCGGTGACTCCCTCAAGGGATGCTGCTTACATTTTAAACATTGCTTGGGGATGCCGGCTAAACGCGCTGTAAGACGCGTTGCGCAACCCCCAGACCCGAGGCGCCCGCCTGCCCTAGGAAACTATGCACGCGAGGTCCGGTGCAACGCACCGATCCTCTCTTTTTACACTTCACTTCTCGATAGTTAATCCTACTGTTCTACCCCATTGCAGCCGTGACTCTTTGGTAGCCAGAGGCCCGTAACAGGTACTGCCTCTCCAGAAAACGAAAAACTGCAATCTGTCTCGGCAACGAGTTGCCGCCTTTACTGCGGATATTTCCCAGAGGCTGCGTGGCATCAAACCAGACCTCCGCAGGCACAAGGGCCGCGGCCGCCCCTAGCAGCCCAGTCGCGGTGGCGGAATGCGCACGATTAGGTGCAGATACGGAAACATCCTGCTTTGGCGTATCCGGATTGTGCTATTGGGAGAGCAAAAGCGCCAGGAGCACACCTCTCGTTTTATCCAGGGATAATGCATATAGGTTAAATACAAGTGGGTGTGTAGGATGGGGCGCAGCAAACGGCTGTTGGACGGTAGAGGAACATTTGGCTGGGAGCAAAGGGGAGCAGAAGCATCCGTTTTTGGAGGCCTGGGATCCCATTTGCTTCTAAAAATCTCCCAGTACTAAAACATATAAGGGCCGGTTTAACTACCAGAGAGCGATTGGGATCCCAAATTTGTAATAGCTGGCTAATGATGTTTGTTTTGTTGGTTAGGACTGATTGTTGATTAATGTTATGGGGTGGCGCTGGGCCTGGGAAGGTCGTCTGCCTCTTACTCCAGCACATGCCCCCTTGGTTGATATCCCAGACAATGAAGGGTGATGTCCTCTGCACAACTTCTTTGCGGCACAATATAATTCCCGGTGGTTATCGTTCGATTTATATCGATATCCTGAGCAAGTAAAAAGACGATAAAGTCCAAGATTTAAGGTCGGTATATGCTATTAATCGAGATGAACAACTGCACTGGAGATGATTCTTTGTTACTCCGACCGCGACCCTGATTACACCCCAGCTCTTCTCGAGATCGCGAAAGCCATCCTGGGCACAGGAAGGTTTGACTTTTCCGCCCTCGACCGACCGAAAAGGCGGGCGTTGCTCTTGGGATGCGCTGGGCTCAGGTTAGAAGACCCAACCTTGGCGAGCGACCTGTTCCAGCGCGGCTTCCACCCTTTCCTCACCGACGTCTTCGACGTGGACGACATCCTTGTGCCGCAGCTGCTCGCCGCGATAGATGGCAGCCTTGCCCAGGAGTACCTCCAAGAGGCAGAGACCAGGGAGGTGATTGGGTATGTGCGCGCGGACGAGACGGCAAGGCGCTTCATCGAGCTCAGGCACGGCGCCCTGGCCGTGGCGCTTTATAAAGCGACTGTAGGATGTGACCTTTCAACCCCAGACGGGAGCTGGTTCCTCGAAACGATTGCTTCCCTGAGAGATTAAGTAATAACGGTAAAGCGGGCAATAATAAGACTGCAACTGATAGCGGGCGAGGCCGATGCCACATACCAAAAGTGTAAACCCGCATGGCGCTCGTCACACAAAAATGTCCACCACTTCTGCACTTTGCCCCCGCCAGGTCCAGGTCCAAGAAGGTCAGCCAAATAGCGGCTTAAACAGGCAGGACCCGTTGAGGCTGAAGGACTCACCGGTGATTCGTGGTGTCGCCCGGAGCGGCTAAACAGGCGTAGCGGTGATTCCGGCAAAGGATTCGAGCGGCGGCGCCATGATGACCTAGACGGCGCCTTGGTCTGGTCCGCATGCCATATCCTTGCGAGCCTGCCCGCCCCTTCCCACGATCCTATCTTCGCGGGGGACCTTCTCTCTGTGCTTTTATCTTCCTCCCTTTCCTTATATTCGCCATTTAGTCCCGCTCGAGCATTTGGCCCGAACGCGCGACCTTTAGGAACCATTTATCTTTTGGCCTCAGACCGAGCGTTAATTAGACACTCCGACCATGGCGACGTCCTTCGACAGCTGGTACTGGTTAGGAAACAGCGACAGAGATTTGTGCCCGGGCGTAGGACTCTGGAAATGCAAGGCACCCGACGCCTGCGCGCGCGACCCAACTGCCAGCAAATGGTACTGTTGCAACGCCAAAAGCGACGGCTACCAGATCTGCTGGAGGGGCAAGACCAGCTGCAGTAACAATGGCCCGATCTTGCAGTGCGATATTGGCCAGAAGACGTGGTGTTGCCTTGAAGACAGGTGCGAGTTCCCCTGCCTGGGAAAAGAACGGAGTTTAGGAGCCCCGACTGACAGCCTGGATAGGGAATCCTGCTCGCAGATCAGTGACCAGTCTGACATCTGCTGAAGCAAACCTGAGGCTAATCTGCTGAATAACATCAGCATGCCCTTCCTCGAGTCGGCCTATTCGTCGCTCAGCAGCGCCGCGGCCGCGACCGCGATCGCCCTCAGCTTCGACCCGCTCAGCCTCATCTCCCTCACCGCCGCGCCGCCTACCGTGATGGTCGGCCCAGGGACGGGACGTCCTCCGCGGGCTCCATCTCGCACGCAGCAGGTCCCGCGACCACCACCGCCGGCCCCGGCGCTCCCAACTCCTCGGGCGGCGGGCTGGGGCGGCGGCGCCATCGCCGGCATCGCCGTCGGCGTCGCGGCCGGCCTAGCCCTCGTGGCCGTCGGCATCTTCCTCCTGTGGCGGCGCGGCAGGCCCGGGGCGTACGCCAAGCCCGGCAACCACCCGGGGCGACCCAAGCTCGGGGGTGAATGAATATATCATGTTCCCCAAGGTGGAGGAAAACCGATTCAGAAGGCCCGGAAACTCCTTTGCAGCTTGTGTTATAATTCCTGTGGGTGCAAAAAGGGGCAGACGGGTGCGCATGAGCTTTTATTTCCTTTCAAACATGTCTATCGTGACGATGTTGGATCGTCTAATACTTATCAGCAAACAAAAAGAGTGGCCTAAATAACCAAACGCCTTCGGGCTCCTTCACCGCCAAACTCCAGCCGACCAGCTTGTACCAATTCTATCTGTTTCACACAATGTGATGGAGCGTTCTAGGGATACAGTATCAGATCCTGTTACTTCTTCGCGTGGTCTTCTTGGTTGTCTTATTCCGCAGGCTGTTGCCCTTGTCCTGTGGACGGGGGTTCGGATTCTTGTTGGTCTGCATTAATGCTGTTAGCTATAAAATCTCGAAGATATTATGAGCATACCCGACGTGATAGCGTGAGGGGTCCGTTCTTGCAACCGGTGTACTTACTTTCTTTCCTTCGGGCTTTCCATCTTCCAACTTGCGGAAGTTGAGGTGGTCCGGCCCCAACCCATGCCCGCAATTAGCCCACGCAGGAGCTGCAGGAGTCCCTTCCGTCGGGATGAAGGAGCAGGCATCTCCTTCATTCAGGCACTAGAGATACACACGGAAGAAGCATCGTGTTGGTTAGCATGGGGACATATTCGCCCAGCGCGCGGGCTCAACAACTCCGGCGGCAGTGTGCCTTTTTGTTTGCGTAAACATACCGGCCGCCAAACCTTCTTGGTAACCCTGTTTCTCATGTAATTCTTAGGGCACGGCGCCGGCTCCCAATTTCCGTAATCGGGGCTGGTGAAGACGCATTCGTGCGATATGTGGGGCTTCGGGTTCTGAGTCTTGCGACAATGCTGGCGGCGATCACAAAAAGAGATATGTCAGTGGCAACACAGACAAGAGGGGTATGGAAGATGGGAGAGTGGTAGATGGGCACAAGACTTACCCCTGTCCACATGACTTGTTCGCCCAGAACCCCGGCGGCCAGAGTGCTGGTGAGCGCGAGTGCGAAGAAGGTCGACTTCATGGTGGATGAGAATGCGGAGGGGTCGGGACGAGGATGGTGCAGGTGCGAAACTTGCAGGAATGATGGGGACGGGAAAATAGCTGGAATTTTTTTGTTCGATGGATGGATAGGTGGATGCTGGTGTGCCAGGACAGATCTAGAGAGAATGATAGCGGGCAAAAAGGGAGGTTATATACACTGGTCTTGCAATCACAAACGACTACCTAGCCACAGCTCCTGGAAGGACCCTTCCGCGCAAACCACACTCGCGATGTTGTACCAGCAGACGTCGACGACATTTTGGCTCGATCACCAACAACCGTTGGCGTAGTAAACCTGTCTGCATGCATATCTCTGTTTGCGGGCTGTGCTGGACGACAGATTTGTGGAAAAGATGCCAAAATAGCACGCAATCTTTTCATTTGCGGCAACGTTGGGGTGGCTGTTCTGTTCTGCCCCCGGGCTGTATACCAAACACTGCTCCGTGGGGGCCGGGCGTTGGCGCTTCGAATATGCGGGCTGCGTGCGGCGACCAACGAGTGCTGCTGCGCCACCAGGCCGAGCCGAGCAGAGACCCTCGATCGAATGGGGACCAACCGACATTCTAAATCGGGGCCGCTTTTGGGGCCGGAGATTATCAAAATTTGGCGGCTCGGTATTTTCGAAGGCACAGTAAGTACGGTGGGGTATAGCGAAGACTGTGACAAACCACATTTTTTTGTCACAAGGCTTACCCCCATATGGGGAACGATTAGCCGGCATCAAGGACGGCAAAGGGGAGCAACAGAAGAACTTCCCAAGTTAAGCAGACGACCCGTCCAGTACAGACCCGCATGGAATGCGCCTAGAATGTCGTCACACACCCATCGAACCATTCCGCAACTAGCGGCTCAAACCGAGGACATAGATGCGGTCAACAGCCGCTCACTCCAGAACCTCCTCGACCAAGAGGTTAGCGCATTTTATTGCGTGCTCCGTTCCGTGGGCAGCGACCGCCGAGCGGGGGCTGGCGCATGCATCGGTTTCGATCTGTCTAAAGCCTGTCCCGTACCCATCAGGCATGGGAACAACGGCAGATGAGTCTCGGCTCCGGACACGGACGGGAACTCGAGGGTGGAGGTGCACCGATCGGTCAGCGTTGGCGCGAATCGCCCTTCGGCCCCTTGCGCGGCTATCGATGCACACCAGCATCCCCATGCTTACAGAGTTCCCGGAGACGCCGTCTTCTTCCAGTTCCCTCTGACTCGGACCGAAGCCGGTTGGACGATCCGGGATGCCTTGAAACCCTCCGCGGGGCACCACCCAGCTCGCACCGGCGGACCAAGAGCCCGACCTGATACGGTTCCAAACAGTACCCGTGGATGGACGGAACGGGCTTTATCGCGGCAATCGCGAATTTATGCAAGTACCACAGTCGTCAGGTGGCCTGCCAGTGCGCAGGATGGATGTTGTCAGAACGGCGCGCTTAGAAAACCTAGCGTTCAATGCATGGTGCGACTAAACCAGGCGGGAGTAGTGCAGTGGCGGTTCGGCCTCTGCCAGCCTGAATTGCCCAGCCTCGCCCAGCTTTCTCTATCGTCCGCTTTCCACGAGATCATTGGCCTCGACTTTCAAACCCGATCAGCGTCTCAGAGCGGACGTACCACAGTCATCGTTCAGTATCCCATCCAGACAGGAAACTTCATCGCACCTGAATTCCAGCGTTTCACCTCACATAGCAATATCACTCTACCATATGCTGATCCAGGCGTGGTTGAGGATGCCACTGAGGGAGAGGCAGATAGCAATTACCCGGAGGAGAGCCATTTCGAGGATGCGTTGTATGCGTGGCAGGCCGCTCAGAGAGAGGCGGAAAATAGTCCTGTCGATAAGGCCAGCTTCTTTCAGGGAGCTCCGTGGTATTGAGGATGATTCATTCGGCAAGCCGTGGCACAATGGAGAGATGAGGTTGGAGATTTAGGTAATATGTATTAGCATAGAGCGCGCGCTGCAAAACCACCAAACATCTTTCCCCCACAAATCACCCCCTAGTCTCCGCTCAGTCGTCTGTCCTGACCACCAGCTGCGGGCAGTCGGGCGCGTCGGCGTCGACCCTCTCGATGACGGCGGCGGTGCCGTAGGCGCAGACCTGGGAGAAGCCGCCGAGCTCGCCGGCGTCGAAGCGGAGGGCGATGACGGCGTTGCCGCCGCGGCTCTGGCACTCGGCGACGACGCGCGAGATGGCGTCGTTGCGGGACGAGTAGAGCAGGTTGGTGAACCACTTGAGCTCGCCGCCCACGATGCTCTTGACCGCCATGCCCAGGCCCGCGGCCCAGTTGCGCGACCGCACCGTGAGCCCGTAGACGGCGCCCAGCACCCGCACGACGCGGTAGCCGGGCACGTCGAACATGGTGGTCGTTATGACGCCGTTGGTCTCGGTGAAGCAGTGGAGGTCTTGCAGCTGTGGCGGCACGTCGGCCTGCTCGCCCGGCTGCTGGTTCTTCTTGTTGGTCTTGAGGGCCGTGGGGGAGGGCATGGTTTTTATGTGTTTGTGGTTGTAAGAGGAGTGTAGTGTATGGTTAAGTGGAAATTCTGCAGGAACTGTGTAATGCTGGATTGTGCTGGAATGATGCTGCATTCCTCGAAAGGGGAGCGGGTTTCTATTTTATATCCCCCAGAGCCCGGTCCAGCTTCGTGGCCAGTCGACCAAGACGATACTGGCCTCCATAGGGTGACGATCGACTATATCTAGCCACGCAAGCTGTGAAATTGTTCAACATGGGCAGGCTGAGGCTGCCGGGTGCGGTCGGGTGAGCACGCGATTGGGCTCAATTGGCCTGTCAGACGTGGCCTGGGGGCTTGAAGTTGGCTCAGCACACCACCCTTTACCGTATTTCGTATTCCGCGTTGCTCGGGTAAAGCATGGGACGCTAAGAAACCCTGTCGAGACGAACAGACAAAGCACCAGGAATGGTCAGCCCGGGAAATGCCTAGATGGTCGGAGGCAGAATGGGAGGAATCGGGAAGGAAAATGACTAGAAATCTTTGGCGTGTCCGTCTCGTCGCGGGGCTTCCGGTGCTTGGCTTCCATGTCCGGTTCACGTACCCGACCGTGCTCGCCTCAGCTCCGGACTCTCCCTAAACTCACCCATCCAATCATCCGCTTCCGGAAAATCCCTCCAAAATGCGCCCAGGGCGAAATGGCGACGGCTCCAGTATCTGGCTCAGGTCGGCCTAGTGCTCACGGGTCTTGGGGTCAGACTAGCTTCCACCTGACGCAGCTTGCCGTGAACCTCCGCCTTGCGTCTCAATGAAATAACCACACCCCCAAGCCTGCAGCGTTTGCGTTACACCTTCGCATCAACCTGTTGGCCCTACAAATCAGGAGGGTCTGCGTCAGAAACTCCAAGCTTCCTGTTGGTAGGCGTCGCCTACCGCCCAAAAGGGGCTCAACTCCGGAATGATGCAAATGCCGACTTCTGGGTGGTGAATCGGGTCTCTCTTGTATGGGAAGGAAGGAGATCTATCTCCGCCTCTGGCCCCTATATACAGGCCTGGGCTACGTAACAGGCCACGCTACACCTGTCGGATACCCACGCATTGATATAATCCAACATTTGTTCGGTTCTCGCTGTTCCCCAACCTGGCCTGGAGCTTTACCTTCAACTGGCTCATCATCCTGCCCTTCGAGATCGTCAGCATCGCGGCCCAGACCCGGCCCTACGACACGGAGGGAGTGGTGGTGATGGTGGCAATCTCTTTTCTGTTCTTTAGGGGCTCGACGAGACACTGATCCAGCGGTCGGCCGCTTTCTCGAGCTCGGATTTGGGGTCCATCTTGGCGCCCCTTGGACTCCGAGTCCTGAATCAACACCCCAAACCGTAATTATTGCCATGTTAAGTACTGGCCAGGGCCTGGCAGAATCCGACCGGTAGCCATCACGACCAAGACGAAGGTCCAGTCCCACTAATTCCACATAGGTATGTACCTGGGGTTCATGACGTGCCTGCGGTTAATGGACAGGTTGCCCTTGGGCCATGCCGAGAACATTGCAAACGCTAGAGACATCAATTTCATGGGGCTTGAGCTCGAACATGACGGAGTTCCTGACTCCGAATCTATCCTTGAGTGGAGGGGAAGGAGTCCTCCATTCGGATCTAAGCCTTATCCGCGGCTCTCTGAGCGCACCTTGGTCCGCAGCTCACTGAACTAGCGGTCCAGACAGCACTCCAAGCTCTTAATCTCCGAGCGCATCTCGGCGCGTAGCTTATTGACAATCTCGTGTCGGTTTTGGCGCTGCTCGTTAAAAAGCTGGGCCACGAGCCGATCCGAAAGTGGCTTCGTGCATTTTGGTATGTCCATCTTTGATCGATGAACTCAACATGTCATGCAAAGCCCCATACATTTTCCTTTCCAGGCCTCGCTTTCTCTTAGGGTGTTGTGGTCTGGGATGATCTTCGGGGGTTTGCTCAACGCCTCGTCCCAGGCGTCGCGCCTCTTGGCGACCCTCCTGCTGATCTGCCCAGACTCCGCTTCGGTTCGCACTCTGATGCCGGGAAGGCCATAGTGAGACCGTTTCGCAAGACCAGGTTCCGCATCCCTCCGCTGCGCAAGCTAGCCTTGGAAAATTCCACAAAATTAAGATGCTTTGTGCTATTTAAATTATACTTAGAGAAGATTTCTATAATAATCGCTTCGCCTGCCGTTGTCGTAAAGCAAGTGCAGCAGTTCTGTTCGCCTTGGCACCTGGCACACGAGGCCCCTCTCCATGTCCTCGAGGATGCGGACCGTCTCGTCGTCGGCCAGCGGGTGCGTCATGTAAGACGCCAGCCCCCGGTGCACCGAGCGGAGCACCGCGCCGAACTGCGCCCTCTGCTGCCGCTGCCGATGCCCCGGGTCCAGCAGCTGGAGCAGCCGGAAGAAGTCCAGCACCTTGCGGAGCTTCATCTGGCGGTCGTCGATGCCCCGGGTCGGCCGGAAGTGGTGGGCCCGGTGCATCTTAATGATGCAGGTCGTCATGAGGACGAACGCCGCCGGGGGATCCGTCTCGAATTGGGTACCTTCGGGCGCTCCAAAATACCTCCGACCTCGGTGGCTGATCTCGACCAGCCGCTGGGAAACGAACGCTGCTTCGTCCAGGCGTAGCGCCATGTTGGCTCGGCTGGAGTGGTTGTTGGTTTCGACACAAGGTAGCACTGGGGGCCCCAGTGTGGTAGAGGACAGCCTCTTTGTACAGCGCCAGTCACTTTTTCGCTTCCGCCACATCGACGGTGTTGCCCATTGAAGCGGCGTGATGTGTCGGCGATGTGGTCTCCCAGCGTGATTTGAAAGTCCGGAAAATTTGAAATTTTTGGAAAGGTCGAAAACGAGCGGAGGATGGGATCCAGGAACTTGTTGGACTTGCCGCTACAAACGTTCTTAACGCGGGCCCCGAGGGGTCTCCAACAGGCGAATACAACATAAATGACGGTAAAAACCGCCGCGATCACGTCCCCGAGGACGCGGCCGACCCGCACGGCCCAGATTCCAGGCTTGTCGAGCTCCTCGTCGGGCGGCCTTGCCCAAGGCCATCTCCTCCTCCCAGATGAGGCCGCCAAAGTACCGGCCGGCCGCGCCGGACAGCAGCGCCCAACCCGCGGACGCCAAGGCCACAAGGCCGGAGATGGCGGCGATGACCTCCATGAGGCCCATGGTGGTGGTGGTGGCGGCGGCGGCTGCGGTTGTGGCAGCGGCGGCGGCAGCAGCGGTAGTGGTGGTGCTGGTGGTAGTGGTGGTAGTGGTAGCGGCCAAAGCAGAGGCAAAAGCAGCGGCGGCGGCTGTAATGGCGATGTTGGCGGCGGCGGTCTCTATGTTTTTGTTCACATCAATCGTTCGAGTCAAGGTCGGAAACCAGAAAGGCGCTGAGGCGCTATGGCCGTGCCCAGCCGCCAATAGGTGAAAACAGCACGTGGGTAAGGGTGCCGAAGCGATGCCGGAAAACTTTGGGATTCCTTTCGGCCTCGTCCTCTTCCAAACGACCGCGCTTTTGGCTTGGCACATTTTTTTTCGGGGGACGAAAGCGTGAAATCGCTCCGGGTTCGGTTGCGCGATTCCCGCTGCGCGCCGCCACTTGCCTGCCGACTTTGCGGAGCCCCGGGCCTCGTCAAAGCCTGTATTGTGTCGGTCCCGGCACAAAGTCCCAACAGGACGGTGGCAGCCCGCGGCCGTTCCCAAGCGGCCGTTGCCATCAATGCCAGGACCGCAAAGACAATTGTGACAGGGTGAGTCTCGTTGGTCGGCGGTGTCGCTGGCGCATTGCTAACGTCCAGCTTTGCAGCCGCTGGCGCACATGGAGGGGGACCAGGCAGCCTTTCTGTCGCCGGCGCAAGGGTAAGGCCGGATAGCTGGGTTTCGGCCGCCCCCATGGCTTCGTCGGTCATGGTGGCTATGGTCTCGTTGGCTGTAGTGGTTATAAATTTATCGATTGTGCCGATCGTGGCCTTGTCGGCTGTGCTGGGCGTGGATTCGATTGCCTGGGCCTGCCCATTACACCCTTTAGGCCTGCTTCCAGGTTGGCAGCCACAGCCGTTGCGGCGTCTTCGATCTTTTTGAACGCCCCTTGTGCGCTAACTTCCAGGTCAGCCTGCTGCTTCTTTCTAGTCTCCTCCATTTCGCGCTTTTAGCAGCATTGCCCCGAAGAAGTGCTTCAAATCGTCGTTTTCGATAGCCCGGTGTTTGGCGCCGAAAGCCCAAGATGCCAAAAGTAAATAACGAGCGGTGCTAGACGTGGGCGGCCTGCTTGGCGAGTTCCTCACGATGCTGCCAGTCCGCTTGTGCTCGTCCAGGTCGTACCGATTCCTTGTAGGGCAATTAGGAAGAGAGAGCAATGGAACTTTTCCCCCAAATCACCGTCTGGCCGACTCGGTGGAGTCCACATGGTAGGTATCCGACTGGCCGCAACGGGCGAGCGCAAAAGTCGCAAGGATGCTACAGTTGCGCACATTGACCAAAGACACTACACGCTTCAGGTCTCGAGTGAGGACAGAGCATTGGATACCACTTGTTTGCGAGGGCGGTTGTATGGCCGTCGCTTTAGAAGAGGATAGGGCGATGAGGGGCGGCGTCTCGAAAGAGGACGAGGCTATGCGATGCGGGCCAGCCCAATGCGGCCGCCATAAACCAACACCCCGAGGCAGAGCCAGCCTGTCGAAAGCCTAGTTATTTGCG